CGTGTTGCCTCTCGTAGAGCCAATCACTCTCTTCCCACACTTTTCTTAAATATCCCGCTATGACGTGTTCCATTTGTTTGCACACCACTGAGGTTAAACTGACCGGCCTGTAATTTTTGACTACGGAAAGATCGCCTCCCTTGTAAATAGGAACCACTATGTCCTTTTTCCAGTCACTTGGTATAATGCCGTTGTTAATCGTTACGTCTAGCAATCGCGCCAGGTACGGAATCATGGCTTCCCCACCCATTTTCAGAATTTCACCAGGAATACAGTCTGGCCCCACTGATTTCTTCCTCCCTGTCATTGCCAACCGCTTCCTAATAATGCTAATGTTAATGGTGAAAGGGTTTTCCGAGTAAGTTGGATTTATTTCCGGGATGTCCCGCTCGCAGCTGAAGACAGAAGCATAATAATTGTTTAAATTATTTGCCTTCCCTACGGGATCTGTGATGTGCCCTTCGTTACAGTCTTTGATCGTTGGAATATTTTCCTTGTTTCGTTTACGTCTATTTACATATCTGTAAAACTCCGTCCAGGATTTACTTTCATTTGTAATACTGAGCTCAAGAATATTTCCTGTGCACTGTCAGCAATTTCTTCGATAGACTTTTTAGTTCCATTTGGTACCGCTCGCCTAATTTCCTCCTGTTGTAAGCTCTTCTGACCTTAAATTTTAGACGCTTTACTTCCTTGTTGTAGTATTCTGGATCAGGATTTTGTTTCAGAATTTTATGTGAAACAAAACGTTCGATACCCTCAAAAACTATGCCATTGAAATTGTTCCATATGTCCTCTACGCAGCTACCATTACTTGCCCATATTGGTAATTTATCCCAGAGAAAACTTTGTAGCCCTACAACATTTGTTTTGTGGTAGGCAGGTACTGATCATTTCTCGTTAGTCATAAAACCATTTTCCTCCCATTTCATTTCTAATAGCACACCGTAATGATCACTGATCCCGTGTATAGTATCGCAAGATATAAGTTCACTTTCAGGTCTAACAAGGTAAACGTCCAGTAATGAATCACCTCGGGTCGGTTTTTCAACCACCTGAGTGTAACCGTTATCCCACACCAATCTGTTTATGTAAGCCTGAGAGACGCTCATGCCTTCCGTGACACCCTTCCAGTCCACTTGGGGTAAATTTAAATCGCCTCCTATAATGCTCTGCTTCATGGAACAACCGGTTCTGGCTACCAACTTTTCAATAACCCGTATGTCCTCATTTGGAGGACAGGGTACCAAATCTGTCCTCTCCAGGCACCCATTAACCCCAGCCTCCTCTGTCAATCTTGCCCTCTGAATCCCCTACTTCATGCCTGTGACCCATCCACATGGCTTTTCTCACCCTTTTGAGTTCTCTGCCCACCACATACACTTATGACTTCCCAGATCAGCAACACTGGCCCTTTTTCGGGTGTTGATCCTAGGTACCTTTTTTATGTCTCCTATTCCTTGCAGTTCCTTCCTGTTTTCTATATAAGCCTGGGTTTTACACGAATGTCAGTCGCAATGTGACGCTGACTCTGACTGAAATGAATTACTCTGCCTGCTACCTCATTCATGCTTATTTCTTGCTTTGCCTTCCTTTTCAGCCCTGAATACAGGGAAACATATTCCTCTGAGACAGTGGTTGACTTTCACCAGACTAAACAGCATAACACACCAGCATTTTACATTTTCAACAATTTACATATTTGCATTCCTTTTTCATGGAACCAAGTGACTATTTGACGCCCACATGTCCAAGATCCTGCGCTTCATCCAAAGCATGGGGTTGCTGAGGGAATAATTAAAAAAAGGGAAGCACAATAGACCTAAGGTCGCGGTGCAAGGGCCAAGAAGGCCTACCCCTCATATATACTATTCTATTCTACATTCTTTTTATTCTTTACAGGAATATTTTGGTTATAAATATTTTAAGGTGTGAGTAGTTGTCTTGCTTTACAATTAAAAGAAGACAAGGTTGTCAGTCTGTGTTCCGGTTTTTAAATGCTTATTTTAGATATACACAATTTTTATATTACTGTATACTAGTCTTTATTTCAATTTATTATATAATTAGTGTATGTTATACAAAACTCATTAATGACATTATGTTTTAACTATTGAATTTTTAATTAATAGACTTGCATAAAACTGTACAAATTGTATAAGGTTTGCCAGTGCTTTTACTACTAAAGTTGACTTATTTATTATATTGTACATGTTTATCAGTATTTTATACAAATGTGTATGCTATTGGATGACAACTGTAATCCTTAGTTGTGACTGTAACAAGGATGATCTCCACATCCGCATGAGAATGTACTCTCGACAGGATTTATGGAAGGTGAATAAATGAAATATGAAATATAATAAAGACTCCAATCATCTCCCCAAAGGGCTAGATAAAAAACATGTCATACATTACAAATTCATGATAACCACACATCATACATCCTTGGTCCAATATAGTATAATCAGACCTCACCACACAGCGCAAGTTGTCAAGACATCCCACATAGGCTGTGGAAACACCAAAGTCACGTTCTTTCTCTCCAGCAGAGAGAACTCTTCTAACCATCACCATGAGAACCCCAAATCCCGTTAACAGGTCTTAATCTGTGACACACTAAATGCAAGCTCCTATCCACAGACAATTCAAAACAGTCAAAATGACGTATTGCTGTCATATTCACCTTTATAATACGAAGTTTTCATGATTATAACGAAATGGACATGATTCACTTGGGTAGTGTGATACAGTGTGGAGGTTACAAATTCTGTAGTTTCACTCTGTAGTCAAACTTCACCGCATCAAACAAGGATCGGTAGATTAACACCTTCATATTAATATTCCTCTAAATATTTTTTCATGATTATAACGAAATGGACATGATTCACTTGGGTAGTGTGATACAGTGTGGAGGTTACAAATTCTGTAGTTTCACTCTGTAGTCAAACTTCACCGCATCAAACAAGGATCGGTAGATTAACACCTTCATATTAATATTCCTCTAAATATTTTTTCATGATTATAACGAAATGGACATGATTCACTTGGGTAGTGTGATACAGTGTGGAGGTTACAAATTCTGTAGTTTCACTCTGTAGTCAAACTTCACCGCATCAAACAAGGATCGGTAGATTAACACCTTCATATTAATATTCCTCTAAATATTTTTATTAAAATATTTCTTAACACATACCTGATGGTATACGTTGGGCAGCACATAACGTTCAATGTGGGTTTGTAACAATATCTTCCACTTCTTCGCCATCCACGATCAATTAGATCCTGGTAATCTTGAACAGTCATGTTACGGGCCCACATACCTGAAAATGTTACATTTTTATGTGGGGTATAACGCCTCTTGAGACATTATGAATAAAGTTCCCAAATTAACTTAAGTTTGGCCTATCAACTTGGGCGATTCCTCTCTCGCTCGCTCTCATCAAGGTTGCATGTATATTTTAATCTAGCTCTTACCATAACTATAGTTCGAGTCACTGGATTTGCAGTAGCCACAGCGATACCCCCCATGTTCAGCATAATATTCAACAATACTATAATTTATACTAGACATCGATAACTTGAACAAAACTGCCGTACTACCAAACTGACAGACGAAACAACCGAACAGGAAGTGCACACGCGTAGTTTCATTCAATTGTTCGTTTGCATTCCTTCCAGTAGGGCATGAGGAGCATGAGGGCGGTGTACGCGGTGTACAACATTATATTATCAACCGCAATATTTGAACGTACTCGTTTTGTGGTGCATGACGGCCATAGCTCCCATAAACAGGCAATAATAATGCAAATGTAGTCTAAATATTTTCAGTGCTCTCATGGCATTTCGCAAACACGTTATATCTTTTTTAACGAAATAATATTGCTACCAACAAATATATTTATTTTTTCCTTTGTCTTAATATTCCATCCTCTACGATTCGTATTTTTACGGAATAGTCTCGCATCGTTTCTGATAACTTCTTTCTTCTTCTTTGCTATTCCGTACTGCATGTCTGTCATCCCCGGTCATCCCCATCATACATGTGTATGAATTTATCCCACTGCTAGCCGTGTAACGAGCGTAACGAATGTATGTTACCAAACATCTGTATTGATTCGTGCAAGGGACAGTTGTCACAAAAGAAAGCAATTGTCAGCGTAGTCTGTTTTTTATGTTGTGGGGTTGGCAGAGAAAAGTAACAAGGCGTACGAAAGTGCAAAATATAAAGAAAATGTGTAGTGTTTACTCCGTTCCGTTGTTATTTCTTAATCTTGGTGGGGAGATGATGTACATTTTGAATCAAAGATTAAATGCACAGCGGATCCCAAAGGACAAAGCAACGAAAGGCGGGTGAAACCTCGTATTTTTTAAGTCTGCTATAGATCGGTATAGATACAAGGTTCGCGTTAAGGCCGGCAAGCAGAACCACAGCCATTGGCACTCAAGGCATATTGAATTTCCTATCCTACCCAGACTGTTGTACATTTTGAGAAAGATATGTTTTACGTGGTTTGTTTGCTTTTTTTACAATTTCCCCGTGGTTCCAAGAATACTTCACGGTATTTCTGATGATGGGTCTCCGAACCAAAATAACATACAGGTCGAATTGGAAAATTATATTATTTTGATGTAAGAATGTAACATTGAAAAGCGCACACCATTATACTTTTCTAGAAACGGTTCCTGATGCGTACACAGTTTTATACATTTTGCCATGCCAAGTGGCCGATAGCGTAGTCGGTATAGTGACTGGCCACGAGCTGGATGACCAAGGGATCGGAGTTTCACTCCTGGTAGGGTGAAGAATTTTCTCTTCTCCATGTAGCCCAGACTGGCTCTGAGGCCCACCTAGCCTTCTATCCAATGGGTACCAGGGGTAAAGCAGCAAGGGTGTGAAGCTGACCACTCACCTCCATCTAGTGCCGAGGTCAAGACAATGTGTATCTATACATATACTCGCCCATACATCCTCATGGTGTAGTGCTTAATTAAGTACAGGGACAACTTTACCTAGTGGCCGAGACAGTTTGTGTGCATTGCAATACTAGTCAATGATGTTGATGTAGGGGAAATGTAACCAATTCTGATTAAGGTTATATTAGGTATGTGAATGGGGTTGACTCCAAGTAGTGTCTGATTATGAGCTGAATAGCTGATGTTTTATGAATGACAGAGGATTTTCCATCCATGTCCAGACTAAGTTTGGGGTCTACTCAGCTTCTAGCCTTTGGGGCCTGGGGGCATATCCTGCAGTAAAACAGCCAGCACTTGAAGCTGACTGTTCATTTTCATGTAATCTAGAATTTGTGTATGGAAATTTACCCTCATATCCTCATACATGTTCATGGTATAGTGCTTGTGTGAACTAGTGTCTTACTTTCATAAGTTACTTCATTTTTTATGTTCTTTGGTTAGTATTCTTCTACAATTTTGTAAGCAGAATCTGAATTCATGCCATTTTTATCTTGATTAAGTTTTATGAATTTGTTTTTCAGTGATGGATGATACTATAGGAATCATGCTCAATGAAAAGTTCCTGGTACAGCTGTTTAAACCTCAGGCAGTTTACAACAAGACAGCACTTCGAAAACTTTTTGAAGATCTAGCACATGCTTCCATAATGAGATTAGATGCTGCAAGCATGGATAAATTGTATGATCTCATGATAATGGCTTTCAAGTATCAAGTAATAATGACATGCCAGCCTCGTGAGCTCATACTAATTACACTAAACCATATGGATGCTATTCGGGGCTTTGTTTCTACACCTGCCTTACAAGACCAAGTTGATAAAACATACACAAAACTTATGGAAGTAAGGATTAGTATATACCTTTGGTTTTGTTGCAGTGTATTTCATTATTCTGTTCACTACTATTAGGAGACCCACTGCCATTCATTTCAATCTTCCTTATATCTTTTATATATGTATATATAAACTGTAAGTTTTTGATTGCATATGCAAAAACAAAAAACACTGTAACATTGTTATATCACTGTGCTAAGATGTCTGTTTTTAGTCAGGAATTCATCAGTTCACCTCTAGTTATTTTGGAAGCCACGCTTCTGGTCATAGTTTGTAATGATTCAAAATCCCATAACAGTTTTTTTTTAAATAGGCCTTTTCTTCATTTTGAGAAATCTCTTCCATCTCAACCCACAAAACATAACCTATACAAGATTTGAGGTTTTCACGGTGGTGACCATGAAGAAAGCAGTCTTCTGGGATGTGGTGCCATGTAGATATTGTGTTAACCAACGTTTCAGAGGAACGTATCACCTCCATCTTCAGTGTTAGTCTGTTAGCACCTGCTCATGCTGGTTCCTCACTTGCAGATTTTCTTCTACCCTGAAGATGAAGCAGTACATTCCTCTGAAATGTCGGTTAACACAACATCTACATGGCGCCACATCCCAGAAGACTGCTTTCTTCATAACCTATACAGTTAATAAATCACGATGTAACCTGCAAATAACCTGCAGGTAGCGTAGATTAGGTAGTATTCCTATGCTTATACCTTGTATGCTTTTGGCTTTTTTTCTAGACATATGCTCACCTTTCGATGGGTGAAATGCAGACTTTGAGAAACAGTCTGCTCAACTTCTTACAGGGCCACAGAGTGAGGGTGTCTGTGTTTTTGAGACAGAAAGTACAGAACACTGATGGTACATTTATAATTCCAACATCTGGACCAATCGCACTAGGTAATTCAGTGAACATATCTTCTTTTTAAAAAAAACGTATTATTAATGGATTCCATAAAACTGTATTTCATTTTACTTTCAGACCAACATAAAACCCATTTAAATTCCAGTGAGGAATTGTGAAAAACAAACTTCATAAAAATCCAATAACTTTAAACTCTCTTGAAATTCATCTATGTAGTGTATAAACTAGAGAGAATAAATAAGATTTGAGGTTTTCAAAACAGTGGTTATAAAAAGTTCTTATCTTCTGGGATATAACACCATGCAGTCCACTGAAAGTCAACCAACATTTTGGAGAAATATGTCATTTCCATGTTCCTCTGAAATGTTTCTACATATCAAAATAATCTTTGGGGGGCTTGGGAGTGGGATAAGCATAAATCACTATTGTAGAAAAATGACTGAAAGGGAACAAGTTCAGTATAATAGAAAAAGAATACACAGCCATCAAAAGACAAGCATACATGGAAAACCTTATTTCTAATCCTATATAAAGTAGGCTTTTTAACTGGTCAGTATAGCTAAAAAATAAAAATGATTGATTAATGTTATGCACACATCTCTTATCTGTTTCACCAAAATTTAATTAACAGGTTATGATATGCATGAAAAGTTCATATATGATGTTATGCAAAGTAGGTTTTGTTGTAAACAATGTGGTTTAAAGATTTGAGGCTTTTCTTCAATGTGGTTTAAAATCAGAACTACCAAAGAATTCTGGTGTTCTCATATGTCAAAGTACAAAAAGCAACCACAGCACATACACCCCCTACATACTAAATACCTATATTCATAGACATAAAAAGCATGCTGATCCACAAACACATGTATCCAATACTGAAAAACCTGCATTACTACATATTAACATTCACACACCGATGTATATATGCAGGCAAGACACACAGAAGAGAACGTGGAGATCTTCCAACATACCAGCGGTAACACTACCTACAGCCATGTTATGCATACATATATAGGAATAATACAAAAAATCCAAGTAAAAATATGAATCTACCACTCAAAATACCACCCAGTATATTCATGACCTGTATATATACATTTTATGTATTTCTACAACTTTACAAACTATAGATTTTACATGTTACAACACCAGTTAGGAAACTTTATCTATATTGACCAACATTAACTGCATATATTTACCAATCTTTGTAATTTTACACTTCAGTCTGTCACAGAGACAGACTTCCATATAAGGAGTCCCATTGTATGCTTTGTAGAAAATGTCAAATACCTGCAATAAATATGGGATTTTCTTTTGTAATGAAGTAATCAGCAAGAACTAATTCTAACTAACAGAGATTTGGTAAATATCAGTTTTTACTAATTATTATTATTACTACTGATTTGCTATTATATACACTAGGTCTTAAAACTTTGATTCATGTTTTTGCCAACAGCAGCAGCAACTTCTAGTTCTTACTAATGTAAGATCTTTACTATGATGCACATAAAGTTAAAGTATCACAGATCAAAAATTGAAGCCTGTTACCAATACTGAAAAATGTGTTCTGAATTCATTTGCAAGTAATACCACTGATACATTTTGCATCTCCACACTTACATGGCTGGTTTTAGGGCATTATATATGTGGGTGACCCCAAGATCTTTTGGGTTAATTTATAAATTGTTGTTAAGTTGACACTTTGGCTCACCATATTACTTGGAGTTCAGTAAACATAAAAAGCTATCCCTGTAACAGGCCATGGAGGCACATAGGATTCTGAGACGTTGAGGCTCCCACATTTTACAGACGATTGGCTCACAGAAGGCGGTGAGATTTGTCAGCCTTACATGCCAGCCGCCCTTTACCCCCAGGAAGATTTCTGGTACTCATTTCTGTTAGAGGCTGAGTTAACCCTGGGGCCGTAGTGCATCCAGAAGGATTAGGTCAGTTGAAAAATCTAATTACCTCATTGGGACTTGAACCCACAACCTTCCAGCTTGCATCAAATTGCCTCAACCCACTGTGCTACTGCATGTCCCATTAGTTCATGAAATGTACATGAAGGAAAGCAGCAATAGGAGCCACCATGCCTGTTGGTTACTTTGCATGGTTGTAGATATACATCCCAAAATTAAAATGTTGATGTCTATGATTTCATAGGCATCTTGATTAAAAGTTGAAATGTTTACATAATAAGAATGACTAGCAAGTGAATTCTCTGAAGCTTGGCACTACTGCTAGAAAATGTGAAAGTCATCAAACACACTACCTGGGGAAAGGAGCAGTAGGTTGTATATATCTGTGAAAGTGGAAATTCTGTTGTACTGTTACAATTCCAATTCCTAATTCAACATGCTTTACATTAATATATATATATGTGTGTGTGTGTGTGTAATTCTCATTACATATTTTGTTCCTGCAGTACAGCTCCCACTTATAAGTTTATCTGAATCCTTTAGCCGAAAGGAATGGTATAAATCTGTTATGTAATTGTTTACAGGTTGTGAAGTGCCCGGGTTTATTCGCTACTTTGATTCTGATGGTGCAGTATGCGAGACTAAACATTTTCCTGCAGGTGGAGAATATGTGGCACCTTGCAAGCCTGGATCAATGGAGTTGCATGGAAACAGAGGCACAGACCTTGGATCTAACATGTGAGGATGACTAGATAATTTTATGCAGTTTCTCATAAGTGCCTTCCCTAGATACCATAGCAACCTTGGACACAAGCATACTTCATGGAGAGTACAGTGAATGTGACATGTAGTTCATTTGGAGAAGCAACAAATACGTAGAGAATTTTAATGGAGAACTCTACTGAAATTCACCAGCAGGATGAATAGGGATGAGGCGAGAGGATTGTATTACATTTGATCTTACAGAACCTGGTTGTGGGGATAAGAAATGGATTAAACTTTCCCCAGGATCACAATCAGAAGCAGACACGTTTTTATTGTTTAACACATTTTACAAGATGTGATATACAATCTTTTTATTTTTTGTTATTTATGATGCTGTTTGACCCTCAACATCTCACAACCCTATGGGCCTTCACGGCCTGGTACAGGGATAGCTTTACTTTTATGATGCTGTTGGTATCAGGGCCACATAGAATTGAAAAGTAGGATGGATTAAGAATAATGAATTGGGAAGTTTTCAAAGGGAGCAGTCACGGTTTAATTGAGGTACTTTCCTTCTTTTTGCCTGGAAGGACTGAGGAATACCACAGAAAGTCTTAGTCAGGATTGACTGAGATTCAAACCAAGCACCTCCAAAATACAAGTTATAAGTATCAGTAATTCTTTCCTTACATATTTCAGAACTGTTTGTAAAATAAGTTATCCTGATATGGAAGGATATGAAAGAGCAAACATACTAGTACGATGGAATTACATCTATGGAAACTTTTAAGTATATAAGATTTAATTTTTAATTTCAGCATTCATTGTTTAGCCACATTTTATGGTGAAGATGTCCAGGATTTTGGCTTCGGTGTATGACCTTAATGATTTCTGACAGAAGTTGAAGTTACATAGACACACCACAAAAACCTAAGGATTAGTGTATCATTAATCAGAGATTTCCTGTGCAGTGATGTCAGTGACATTTTCATTACTTTGCTAGGCTAATATGGTACAATTTGAGTCACATTTTAACAAGAATTCTAAGTGTCAGATCACAGCATGATGGAATAATGCAAATATCAAAAAAGTCACTATTCACTGTATTATGAAATATCATTCATTAATTACAGTTACCAGGTACCAGTGACAATTGACACATCTCCAATGAACATACACTGCAGCAGTAGTGACCAGCAGGGAAATACTGGAGACATCAAAGCACAGTGTCAGGATCATGAGGCGGATGGATTTCACCTGGGGAAAGAGGAATTGAATCTGCTTATGGCTCAACTGTTAGGCAGTCAGGCTGAACAGAAGCAGGGATTGGGTAGCAAGGAGGCCATAAGACTCAGTTTATTTTGTGTGGATGAAGGGGGGTCGTAAGTAGATTTACAAGATTTGTCATATTACCACATAGTTATAAGGAACTTGTTCCCCATGTTTTTGTTTTACATCACACTGAATATCTTTCCATTCATAAACCTCTCTCTCTCTCTCTGATAACTGATAACTTATCCTTTTTCATAACACTGCAGAAATAAGATTGGAATGTGTGAAATATTTAGGAATTTATAATTTTCTGTAGTTTCAGAGAAAAAATTAAGGTACACGAGCTGAATTCCACTTTGCAGGAATCCAGCTTCACCAAAAGATGAGCCAGGATCAAAGAACCTGATACACATTGATGCCAGGAACCGCAATTCCAGTGCAGTTCTAGATAGGGTTTATGATGAGATGACCACGCAGAAGGAAGGACTGAATTCACATGATGATAAAGCCCAAGACCTCCTGGAGTTGCTGGATAGTATAATGTAACAATGGCAGGAAGCAAATATGTCACTTCACTGTGTGTCTTATAGTGGTCATCAGTGACAGCTGGTAAAGATAAGAAAGGTTAAGTTGCCCATTTGCTTAATCAGTTAAGCACTATGCCATGAAGGCACGAGGACATGGAAGTGTAGCTCCAACAATGAAAACTGCAAATAACAAAATCACCTCACAAAATGCCTTCCATTATAATCATTATATTTCAGATATTTTAAATGTATGTTTATAAACAAGTCTAGTCATTACAGATGGGATTGGTGTATAAGTTTCAGCACGGAAATTGTGTCACTGTCCAGCTGCACTGGCAGAAGTGATACGTAGGTCGTACCGAAAGTCACAAGCAACTTTTTTTTTTTTGCATGCAACCTGGGAACAGCAGACGAAAGAGAGTACGGTGGTAGGTGGAACCAGCTGTTGTGTTAACCTTGAGTGTCTTGTGACATCAATAGCTTGCATCATGTGACCAGTATCACTCCTAACAAAATGGCCGAAAACGATACGTCATCTTGCCAGCGTGCTTATGGACGTGTGTGCATGGGTGCGAGCAGTGTTCAAAGATGGTGAAACATTTTAAAGATGGGAACACCAGCATCGAAGATGAGCCTCAGAGCGGTCGTCCTCGAACAGCCTCAACTGGACGCAACAAGGAAAGAGTGGATGAGATCATTGAAGATGACAGGCATGTGACTGTGGACACAACAGCTCGAAAACTTGGAATAGGGCACAGTGCAGTACTGGAGATGATTGAAAGCTTGGGCTATAGGAAATTTTGTGCTCATTGGGTCCCACGGTTATTGACCTAAGACCACAAAGGTCAGCAAAAAGCCATCACCTCAGAACTGCTGCAGAGATATCGACACGAAGGAGATGATTTTTTGCTTTGTATTGCGACAGGTGATGAAAGCTGGTTTCACCATTTCGAGCCTGAAACAAAATGGCAGAGTATGGAATGGCACCATTTGCATTCTCCATCAGAAAAGAAGGCAAAGACAGTGCCATCAGCTGCGAAGGTGATGGGCACAGTCTTCTGAGATGCAGAGGGGTTTATTCTGGCCGAATTCCTGGAACCTGGGCAAACCATCAATGCTGCTCATTATGTCCAGACACTGCACAAGCTCTGTCGTTCATTGCGCAATAAACATCCTGGACGAAACATCATCATCCTGCATGAGAGCACTCGCCTCACATTGGAAGCAAATGCAAAGATGGGGTGGGAAGTTCTTCCACACCCCTCCTATAGCCCTGATCTGGCACCCTCCGACTACCATCTTTTCGGATTTGTGAAGGATCAGCTGCATGGACAATGTTTTGAGACAAGGGAGGCAATTCAGAAAGCAGTGCGTCAGTGTCTTCGGATGGCTGGAACGGAATTTTACAGAAGGGGAATTTTCAAACTCCCAGAACGCTGGGAGAAATGTGTACAAGGAAGTGGCGATTATGTGGAAAAATAAAGAAAGATCTGTAGACTGAGGTGGTGTATTTGGTTTGTCAATAATAAAGCATGTTACTTTACAAAAAATTGTTGCTCATGACTTTCAGTACGACCCTCATATTTTATGAGCACTAAGTGATATTTAATTTTTCCATTGTTCAACTTGTATATTAGTATACAATATATTCATGGCCAGTTGAGTGTCAGTTGAAGATGACAAAAGTGCAAGGCGACCAAACACCAGCAACACGATAGAAAATGCTGAAAAAATGTTAGAACTCATCCACGAAGACTGTTGCCAAACAATCCATGAGCTTGTAGACATTGTTTGGATCAGTGATGGAGTTTGCCAGGAGATCTTAATATAAAATTTAAACATGAGTCACACTGCCGCGAAGTTTGTTCCCCGACTCTTGACAAGTGATCAAAAACAGCGTCACTTAAACGTGTATCTTGAGCTATGAGAAGGCTAACGAGGACCCAACTTTTACTCATATCTCTAGGATCACAATGGGTGACATAAGTTGGATTTATGGTTATGATTAAAACAAAGCAAAAATCGTCGCAGTGGAAGTGCCACAATCACTAAGAGCAAAAAAGGCGCAGCAGCTCCAGAGTTCAATAAAGAACATGCTCATTGTTTTGTTTTTTCGACGTGAAGGGAATTGTTCACCGTGAATTTGTTTCTCCTAACACAATGATCAAGTCTGACTTTTACTGTGACGTTTTGAGATGCTTGAGAGAAAATGTGCGACAAAAATAAAGAACTTTGGCGCAACCACAATTGGCTCCTTCATCACGACAATGCGCCCGCCCATACGGCCCTAAAAGCCATGGAGTTTGTGACTAACAACATGGTTATCGTTCCCCATCCTCCCTACTAGTTGGACTTAGCCCCCTGTGATTTATTAAACTAAAGGAATGACATTTTGAATCAGTGTATGACATCCAAAGGGAATCGCAAGCGGTACCTCCCAAAGCATTAAGGAGAATGACATCCACGGTGCTTTTGAAGCATGGAAAAAAACGATGGGATCACTGTATGCGTTCCCAAGGAGACTATTTTGAAGCAGATGACGGTCAAAATTGAGTAAGTTAAGTCAGCATTTCTTTTTTAACCTAGTCTGGGATATTTCTGATAGCACCCCATAAGCCCATATTTTGCCATATAGATCCAATGGCACTACTTCTCAACATTTTTTGGAGCACACTTCCAGTTATTGGATACTGACCTGCTGGATATTTGACAAAACATGTGGTTCATACACAGTGGTCCCCTAGGCCATTTCACTTACACCATCAGAAATTTTCTTGGAGACTACCTACACTGGGCAACAGCTAGCAAGGCAAGGACCAGTATCCTGGCCAAGTCATTCACCAGACCTTAGTACCTTTGATTTTATTCCCTTTGGGGACATCTAACAAACCTGGTGTACAAACATTAGCAATAAGAAGAGTGCTGTTCATGAGCAACAGTTGACTAAACAACGTAGTTTTAAATTCTAGGGACAACTGTTGTTAGGATTACAGTAGATGCACAAAATATTGACCTTGCACTGCCACTCAAGCTACAGCCCAGCAAAGCCTGGATTGATGTACATGTTGAAAAATTCCAGGAATGTTGCAGACTGAGGTCCAGATATTGTAAGTTCTGTAGTATCCATTTCATGTGATTGTGTGTCAATATATTAGACATGAGTATAACTGATTCCAATTTTAATGAGGGTTAATACTCGTGTGTTAAGACATGGGTATGATATACACAGCATACGTTCTGGCCTTATCTCGAGTTAAGCTGAAAATATTGTGTCACAAATATGACCATTTGCTGGGCAACACTTCAGTAAACACATTCTCAAGATGACACAGTCAACAGTGGGGCATCGATTGCTTAGTAGCAGGTTGCTACATTTCCACTGCAACAGACGACACATAATAACAGAGGAACCACTGGAAATGGTGACCTATATTCAGGCCAAGTGGAAGTTATAAAAGATTCGTAATTCATTCCCAGGAGTGATTCATCAGACAGACGTCATTCAAAGAGTTCAATGTGTGAGCAGTGGTTCGTCGTTCATCATTTGTCACACTGGAAAAGAAGTCACTCGTAGTCCATTAAGGAATGAAGCAAGTCATTGATTGTGAGCTGTCATATTGATTGTAATTGTAAGGAAGTGCTAATAAATCCAATCATCCAATCCAGAACCTGTTATTAGTCACACAAACCCCTCATACGTGACAATATTGTGACGTTTGGTCTGGAGATAGATGGGTACCAGCAATTTGAAGAGAGTTGTTACTTCCATTTTCATGCGGTCTTGTATGCAGATAACAGCTTTTTAGAAGTATATAGTCCTTCTATAAGAGTTGGGACCACCTCTTGAGGTCTAGTGGTCAGAGTTCCTGGCTACAGATCCAGAGGTCCGGGTTCGATTCCCGGCGCTACCAGATTCTCTGAGAAGTAACGAGTCTGGAACAGGGTCCACTCAGCCTCGTCAGGATAATTGAGGAGCCACTTGAATGGAAAAGTAGCAGCTTCGGTCTAAAAAAACGAAATTAACAGATGTAGGGATTCGTTGCACTGACCACATGACACCCTCTATCCACTAAAGTTTGCACTATCTTCACCGACAAGTGGCAGTCGCTCGGTCAGTATAGTTCGCTTGCAGACTAAAGCCATGGAGTTTAGTTTTTTATAAGAGTTGGGATAGTTTAGTCAATATAGCGACAGTCTATGGGCTGAACGGTAGGGATTCAATTCCTTGCTGGGCAAGATTTTTCTCTTCATAGCATCAAGACCAGCCCCCCCTCCAAGCCGCCTGTCCAATGGGTACCAGGGGGTAAGGCAGCCAGGCCTGAAGCTGACCACTCACCTCCATCTTTGTTACACAGGAATTTAGCCATATATAATTTCACTCACCATAACAAGTATTGCTGTATCAGTGTTCAGTATGCCCTCTATGAGTTAAATTTATCCAGTCTGATTTTACTTTGGAAGTAAAGAAAAGAATAATTGATATGACAAATCAGTTTATGTTTATTTACATAACCACATTGACATTCACAAAATGGAAACATATTCATGTAAGAACATATGTATCACTAACCTTACCAGATTTATGCCTCCTGACAACTTGAATCAGCTTGTATTTCCTTACATGTAAAAGATGTTAGAACCGAAAATTTTCAGTTCACTTACTAACCTGCTTAAAGACTGGAAATTTTTCATGAAATGAGTGCTCTCTGCCACTATTTACAGAGCAGAACAAGAGATTATTTAATTTCATAAAATCCATTATACTTTTAATGGCTTACTAAATTCTAACAATATTGTACCCCTAACACACATTTCAAAATTATTAGCAAACACTGACAATTTCTGATTATTAACCTGGAAGCAAATATTCAATTTGAAAACTTACAATGAGCACAGAGTTCAATATCTTAACCATTTTATGTATATATATATATATATATATCGGACATCCGGATTTACCACATTTGATACTCAGAGAGGCATTTCCTGCAAACAGGAAAGACTGTGCTCTCTTAATCACACAGCCTTGACTTAAAACCCAGAGCTGAACTTTGAATGTTTCAGTTTAAAGGCTAGCCAGCAATTCTAGTACATAGGATTTATTCATACACTGTTATTAAATGAAAAATATGAACTGGAGAGTACTAAATTCTGAGATACACAGCAAAATCTGCTTGTTGTGAGTCTAGCCTACTCTTTGACTCTGAAGATGGAGGCAGTACATTCCTCCAAAACATGAGCAAATCTCTACAATATTTCATGATGTCACATCTAGTGTGGGGTGGAGTCCAGTTGGGTCCACTCAGCACGGCAGCCACTGATTGGCCTATTGTACCTGCTCTGGGTTATTATGATGGAGAATTTGGTGGAATGAAGATTGGCAGGGGAAACTGAAGTACTCGGAGAAAACCTACCCCAGCGCCACTTTGTCCACCACAAATCCCACTTGACCAGACCCAGGTTTGAACCCGGGCTTCCGTGGTGGGAAGCCAGGGACTAACCGCTTGAGCTATAGCGCGGCCTCCTGTCACATCTAAAAGACAGCACCCTATGAGTGAATGCTAGTAGAGCCTCAATTCTGACAAACAGAGACTGTTTGGGGCATGGCCATGAAGATTCTGGCTTGTTCTGCATGTGAAATCATATTAAAATTATAGATACAGAACTGAATATGACAATTAAGGAGATCAATATTCTTACCTGACAACATGCATACAAAGGGGGCACAAACATGGACATTACAAAAACAAAGTAATGTGGAACGGAGAGAGTTTTGTTCTCAAGCCAAGGCATTTTAGTGTGATCAACAATATGCAATAGCATCAAAATACATTGTTTTAACATCTAGTGTAGTGCAGCAGTTTGAAAAAGTGAACAAGTGCCTGAAGTTGGCCAAGTGTGGTAAACAGGTAGCAACTGATGTGATTTTAATGTCATTTTGCATTAAAGACAGAGGTGAATGAATGATACATCAATGCAACAGGATGCTCAAATATAATATTCTTACCTGAGGTTATAAAACATGCTACAGAATTCTGAATGATACAGTGAAGTCTATAATGGGACAGTAACAATAGAGAGAAAGCACTGACATTAGAAAGCAGAAAATCTGTTAACTGAATGAGTGTTAGAAAGATACACATTACTTGCACTAATCATGACAAAGCCTCTGATGAAACGATAACCATATTCCTTGATATATGAAAGGAAAAAGATATTGGGGAGTTCTGTCTTCTGGGATATGATACAATGTAGCTGTCACTTAAAATTCAACTGATGTTTCAAAGGAAAATGTTACAGCTATCTTCAGGTATGAAGAATAAGCCAAGCAAGAAACCACCGAGAAGTGAGGCTCTGCCTCAGATGGGGTCTGATAAAATGATACCAAGACATGCCTATGATGAACCCTGCATGATCAGATTCCTTGACAAAAGGAATGAAAAGAGGGGTTTCAGCCTGACAGAAAGGGGGGACTAATCTGGAACACAGATGGCTCCAAGATAAATAAAAGGCACTGGAGCTGGGGTGTACTGCCATGGTACAAGGCAGAAATTTTGTTTTAGTCTTGGGCACTACACAAGAGTATTCCAGGAAGAAGCATATGCCATTAAGGCATGCACAGTTGAGAATCTAGATAGGAACTATAAAAGCAGAAACATCTGCATTCTATCAGACAGTCAAGCTGCAATTAAAGCACTTAGCAAATACCAGATCACCTCAGAACTGGTCTGGGTCTGCTTTCTGGCAACTCCAATTGAGATGCTGCAAGCTGGTTCAGGTCCTATTGCTTTTTACCTGAACTCATCCTTCAGATCTTCTTTTTCTTCAGGGTACTGAGCAGTCTGACTTGAGTCCAGAAATACTGAGGCATATGTGAGTGCACCAGCATTTACTTGGACACACACACTTCCCTGCAAAGTAAACACACATAATGAGAAAATAACTTCCTCATACTCACATCCATATTCATGCATGAATAGTTGTCACTCTTATTCCAAAGTTGAGGTCAAAATTAGGAACACATATGCACATCAGTCCATTTTCTAAGAGATCTTGGGTTCTCATGATAATAAATACCAGGATTACAATATTTCTCTTTGGAAGAGGGGGTTGCTCTTGGGTTTGAAACCAAACAAACCCACATACCTGTAAGGTCATGTCAGTGGTTCATTCCTTAGCTCTGAACAATGAAATCGTTGTACTGGTTTGGATATTATTTACGTTTAGATATGACAGTTTATGACCTGGTCAGCCAAATATAGCCCAGCTTTGTTTTGAGAACTGATGAGGAAATATTTATTGGTGCCTGCAGATGAGTCCTTCCAGAGCTTTCAAGGAAGTGTGACCTATTCAAGGATTGATTTTCAGTGGCGAATTATCAGTTAGGAAGTCAGTGTCAGACTGTCATCTATCATTTTTATTTTGTCTTGGAAGAGGTATAAACCTACTGAGCCAGTATTACTTTGTGAGTAAATGGCATCTTCACCACTGCAACTTTCACTATATGTCGGACTGGCACTCTTTTGACTAGTATTATAATTACTTTGCATCACTATTTTGTATTACTAACAGGTGAGTGTGTCGCTTTGTCAATTAACATAATTTATTAAATTTTGCTGGAAACCCCCCACCCCCGAGATGATTCTTCAATCACACAAGGCGAATATCACGGTCATTACCTGGGACCCAACTGAGTCGACTGGAGGTGAAACATTCACAACACTGGCCATCCAAAGGGAAACAAGGCGTCGTGTTTTTCGCTAAATAAGAAAAGCAGCACCATTTTCTTTTGTAAAAAGTGTGATGTTGCGCTGTGTGTCGTGGACTGCTTCGAGAAGTGGTATGCGCGTCAGAGTGTCAGGTATCATAAACTGTGAAGTGACGCAGTTCAAACTCACATACAGTCTGAACAAAATATTATTGTATGTAGTGTGATTATATTTACAATATCGCAAAGTCTCGAAGTTGAAAAAAAAAAAAACTACAGGTAAGTCCTCTGGAATTTCATGACAAAATAACCACAGTTAAGTTTCGTTTTTAAAAATTGTTCTTTTGTATACATGTAGAAAATTTTATTGTCTTTCAGGTTGTTTTTAGTTCGTATTTATATGTTGCATAGAACGGAAAATATGTATTTTTTTTCCTGAAAGTTTGCAATGTTAATTAATTAGGGCGATTTAAATTCTCGGCGCAGAGGGCTCCCGGCAATTTAAAAGTCTGTACGTTAAAGGTTAAAGCAACAGGATACAGGATATGGACTGGATTTATCCGATCTGAACAAAGACCAGTGGTAGACTCTTGTGAACATGAAGAATCTCTGGTTCCCTAAAATAGTGGTAAATTCTTGAGTGGCTGTTGACTTCTCAAAAAATATCAGCTCCATGGATTTAGTCGGGGGCCCATTTTCTTCCTCTCTTCCATCTGTGACATTGTGCACCATGCCAAGGGTACATTTCTTTTGTATGTCATAAATCTGTATCCCTTTTTCCTGGGTGCTCTTTTAACCATACAATGTACTACACTTATTGTCTCTTATTATGCTGACTCTTCATAGCAATTTCAAAGTCCATACACACAGAGCAGACTTTCAGCATTATTTGAATTGTTCATAAAATATTGTTTTTACCTTAGTTCATGACTAGATGGGACAGGCACTGTATTTATTTATAAAGGTGAATTGGCGTTTTTCCCTGAAATGGAAAAATGTAGACACCCCTTAAGATTCAATTTTACTACACATTCATTTGCTATCAAATGTGATACTGCTCCCTTGAAAACCATATCTTTGTCTTCTAAACGTGACCCAACCCTCATTAAAGAGCCCACCTTATAGTGCCTTATACATTTCAAAAGGGAGGTGGCGATTAAACATCCGTCTCCCCAGCCTAAGTATGGTCACATTCAAGGCAAGAAAGGAAATGGGAAAAGATAATACTGGAGAGATCGGTTCCTATAAATCACTGAACATCTCTGCATTCCAATGCATTTATATGAAAGAATATTGCTATATCTAACAAGATTACATTAAAAATATCAAATGCTACTTTTATAGTGAATTTACAAGAGCATGTATTAATCTGACATAAAAAATGGTTAATTCATCTTTGACTATCCTGTCACGAGTGAATGGAATGGCTAATATTAAACTGGGTTCTTGAAATACTGCTCAGTCTGCCTTTTAAGGCTACATACAATACAGAACACATCAGAACTTTGCAATATAACATACAGAAACAAGAAAATAAGTGTTTTGCATAAAAAGTGGTAACTGGCTCTTATATGAGACACTGCACAGGGACTTCTACTGAAGACCTGAGCACACAACTGGCTACACAGATTTGCCTTCTATGTACTGTCTCATCCACACCACACCCCTCAGGTACTCTGTTACTCCGCAAAGAACGCAGGCTCAAACATATGACTCTTCTTCATCTGTGGAATCAAGACCACGCAGTCTTGGTCCTGGGTCCAATAGTAGCCTCTGTGAAACAACATAACGTTCTGACTGGCTGCTGTTGCCCAGATGGTAAGATGTGATTGGAGCACGATGACTGGGGATAACACTTGGAGGTGGCCGGTAAGGTGGTGGGCGTGTGCTTTCAGCAAATAAGTTCCGCAATTGTGACACACTCCAAGAAATTTCCCCTCGCAAGCTAGTTGCAGTTGACTGATTTTGGATGCATTCAGATGTTTCAGTTCCATCCTCTACAACATTTTCAGTTCTGGACTCCCCAGGAGGTGGTGGCAGAGACTTTGATCTCTGGGATGTCCGAGCCCCCATATCCCTACGCTTCAGTCTACCTTTTCGCTCAGGAGATTTTCTGACTATACTCTTCCCATCCATCCAATCCCATGAAATCACTTCTTCAGCAGCTGTACTGTGGCGAGATGTTGGACTCTCAACATGGACAGGGGGCAGGTGGCGAAGTTTAACATCAGTTGATAAGCGTTTTGGAGGCAGAGGTGGTGCAGAAGTATCTGATATTGATGCATGGTGACGTGGAGGTGATGGCGGCACAGGGGGAGGGGGTCGCTGATCAGAACCATTGCTGGTTTCCTCATGAATGTTAATAGGGGCTGCATGAACAAGCAACTCTGGAGCAGGGGAGGATCCATAAGCACTCTCCCAGGCTGAATTGGCTGCAGCACAGTCTTTACCACGTGAGTTAGAACGTGACACATGTGGTGTTGAGTCGTCATCTGAGAGTGTGCTGGAGTCATAAGATCGATCGGCATCTTCCAAAGAGGTAGCTGCAATGTGCGGTGTGGAGTGTGAACGGGACCAATCTTCTGGAGGTGGAGTAACACGTAATGCTTTATGATGCCCCGAACCCATATCAGAACACTGTAACGAAGTTCCTGATATCTCATGAGACAGGTAAGCACATGTAGATGTTTCAGTCTCACATAAGAGATGCGCTGATTTTGATCGTAACATTGGGGATCCTGAGTAACATGAGTAAGTAGTCTCTTGTGGCTCAGAAGGAAGTGGAGGAGGAGGTGGTGGTGCCCTTCCCTTGCGGTGTAATGCACGTTTTTTGAGCAGTCCTGGCACATCATGTTCACTGTACATTTGCTGTTCTGTGGCTGTGTCATTCAGCAGGGATTCATCTGATGCACTCCTCCTCATGCCAGGTCCTGGGCTACGGTAAGCATGTCTATGCAGCCCCCCTACTCCTGAGGATGCACTACCACTGCTAGAACCTGATGTGGTCTGAGTACCTGTTTTTACACTTCCCCCACCCCCACTTCCACTGCCCCCACTGTTAAGTCTCTTAAGGTGTGAGCGCTGACGGAACCAATCCTGACGCTGGAAGTTTGGGTTAATGATTCCTGTCTGATTGGGTCCAGACTGTTGAGCAGGGCGAGCATAGATAGAGTCTTCAGACCAGGGGGAGCGGCTACAACACTCCTGAACACGCTCTTCCCACCCACCATACACACGAACATATTCCCGAGCTAGCGCACTGTTAATCATAGGCTGAGATTCTGGTACTGGTCTAGATGTTGGCGTCGAAGTGGCCGCTGGAACCGAATAGGAGGATGTGACCTAAAATTAAAACACAAAACAAATAATGTTAGGGCATTAGTATGAAACCTTGTATCTTATGCCCAGTAAAAAAAGTATGACTGAGAACAAAGGGGTGAGAATAACTGGTTCCAAAAATTAAAATAAACAAAACTGGAGAATATGACATAATTTGTACTCTTCGATTAATACTGATAGGGTGATTACATCCATAAGGATGAGACTGGAGGGACATGTAATACAAGTGGGAGAAATGCAGTTATGGCTGGGAAAACCTCAAGGGAAGAGAACATATAGGTGACCAAGCACAAATAACATTAAAATACATTTTTGGAAAAGCAGGATGTAAAGATGTGTTAACTGAAAATGGCTCAAGATAAGGACAAATGACAGACTTTGTGAACGTGAGAATGAACATTCGGGTTCTGTAATAACAGGCAATATCTTGACTGGCTTACAAGGAAAAGGCACGAAACTGTCACTGCAGGTAAAAAAAAATGTAAAAAGTGGAAAGTACAAGGAAAATAAACAAGACATGTGTCTCATCCTTTGATCCCATCAGCCATACTTTGTGAAACGTAGTCTTTTAAATTTTTCCACTTTATGGATATAAAATAAGACCATCCACTAGAAGTGAGGTGCAGCAGAGGAGAGAATAACATTTAGAAATATGAGAAATTATACATAACTGTTTATTCTACATGTAATAGGTTCATACTTACATATATACCATATACGAGGGTTGGAACTTTAATAGTGGCAACACTGCTGTAGAGACACCATGCAACGGAACCAAATAGTGTCACTTATACCACACATTAGTTACATACCTACCTTACCTCAGAGTAAATGGACTCTACCTTCCCACATCATGCGCATGCACAGTGACGAGAAGAACAGAGCCTTGTGTTAGCTGGCAGTCTAATGTAGTGTTGTCATGATGTTTTCAAAACAGGAACAACGGAGTTGGATAAAGATTGAATGTGCCAGAGGCCGTACAGCACGACAGTGTCATCAAGGTCTTCAAGAGGCTTGCAGGGAATCTGCATTGCCTTACAGAACAGTGGCAAGGTGGGTAAAGGCCTTCAACGAGGGACATCAATATGTGGCAGGCATGCGTCGGCCAGGTCGTCCTAGTGTCAGTGAAGAAGTGTATGCTCTTTCCGTGTTACTGGAGAGTATTACTGCGCAGTATTACTGTTCACTTTTGGAACACAACCTGCGACCAGCTTTGAGAAAGAAGAGGCGATACTTTCCGCAGAACCCACCCGTCATTTTGCAGGAAAATTCTAGGTTGCATGCAGCGCAAGCTGTGGCTGATTTGTTCGATCAGTGGGGCTGGGAAGTGCTGTACCATCGACCATACTCCCCGGACTTAAGCCCTTGTGACTTCGACTTGATTCCTAAGATGAAGGAACCACTTTGTGGCATTCGCTTCAGAACTGTTCCAGAGATTCTTCAGGCAGCAGACCACTCCATTTGAACTATCAACACAACAGACGCTGCTAAAGGTATCCTATGACTTCCACATCACTGGTAACGGGTTGTACACAGTAAAACTTCGAAATATGCATCTTTTTGTATCAGTTGTAAATAAATAGTTGCCACTATTAAAGTTCGAACCCTCATATATATTTCCAGTTTTTATTCAGGTTCTGATATTCATCAGCTTGAAGGCTGGGTTATAAAACAGTTGTCAAATAACAGCACTTGAAGTATCCAGTGAATGCTTGTAAGCTCCTAATTCATGCACTTATCACTTTTGATTTTATGGTACATATCACGCTAAAAAATGTTTTTGCTCACTGCTATGGGGGAGGAGGTTATTTAATGACACTTTCAGTATCGAGACTATATAGCATCAGATGATGGGAAGATTGATGAATGATGAACTGGAAAGAATCTGAAAGAAAGTGTCCATCAGCCAACTGATGTAGTGTTCCAGCATTTGTTTGGAGGGACTGTGGAAAACCATGACAAATGTCAGGATATCCAGTGCTGTGACCAAGATTCAAAAGAAGTACCTATCATGCACATGTGCAGACCAACCCAGTGGCTTGGTGCTGCTGAAGAAATTACATGACTGTAACATTTCAGTACATGTTTTTTTTTAACGGCATCAGTAACAACTACATTGGACATGCTGGACTAGAAGTAATGCTGTAGACCTGTATTTTGTGGGTTTCAATCTTCATTGGGGCACTAGTAATGTGATTCTTTGTGGTTTTCTTCAGTATCTCCATGCAAATTCTGGAATACTACCTCAATTAGGCCATAACCACTTCGTTCCAAATCCTTTCCAATTCATCAGTTATCCCATTATCTTGATACTGAAACTGTCACTAAATAATTTATGAAAAATATAAAAAATTATGTAAATAAATGTATAAGGGTTATCTCACTTGTGAATTCTTTACTGTCTATGAAGGTATCAAACACAGAACAAATTTAAGTATGTGATTTGTGGTAGTTCTTAAATATCTACTGATGCAAAACAACTAAAAACAAACAAACACACTGGGTCAAACCCGAGACCTCCATGGTACACATGATACAAGTCCTGAGACTGTCCACTTCACAGGTCATGCTTATAATAAAGCCTACATTATGGGATCTAAGGCCCAGTTGACAAAAGGGTGGCAGATGTGCTCATCATTTTGCCTACTTTTTACTGATCCCATTTTCACTGAAATTCCGACTAAATCTGATTCCGTCTCCTTATCAGTTATTATCAAATTCTCTAGCAGGATCCCATACTACACCATCAATAAAACAAACAGTCTTACTTTATCATAAGGATTTTAAAACTCAGAACCATCCAATGGGCTAGTTTACTGGTTGTTACAAGTACACTCCTCTGTGCAGTTAGGTTCAAAAAGTCCCAAGTTCATTCAGTAATAAAAAATTTTTTTAACAGAATAACACTGAAATAAGTTTATCACAGTCATAGAATTATAAGACCATCACAATTGAAATCTTTGTTACACAGTTCTGGCACAAACAGCAGTCCATTATGGCCAGTTTCACACCACAGAATGCGGCTTTATCTATGGTGTATTTAATCAGCTGCTCAGGCTATGCGGGATTGAAAAGAGAACCTGTCTGTTAACCTTACTCCAAGAAACTGGTCTTGTCTTTCTCCTTTTGTCTCACAATGGCTCCAAAAATTCTATACATCCTGGAAATCATAGAATTATTAATCTCTTTAGTGCACCTGATAACTGTTAATTTAAACTGTCATCATGCAAGGTCATGAGAATGAAATAAATCTGTGTAACTACAATTACAGTTTTCCCATGAATACTGTCAGTTAATATAAAATATGTTTCTTGTGAAAAAGACAGCTATACGTGCCTGTTGTTGGAAAGTACACCTACTGTCACTTCTTAACAGTCAGACCCAAAAAGAGAGACGATAACCATTAAATGAAGCTTACCTTATTGTGCGCGTGAATGTCATAGCAACTGAGCTGCTGGGTGGGAGGGAACAGAGCTCTCCCTGAACCTGAACTTGTGGACCCACTCTCTTCTTCATCTGGAGTGTACAACTGTGAGTCGGACATTGTGAGACCTGAATCTCGACTCAGTGACATCTTATCCTTCCTTGGTGGTGGGCATGGCTCCAGCAATTCCCTTTCCAGGCTATCAATGGAGGAGTCATCTCGCCTCAGTCCACCAGCTGTTCAACAATATAATATACCGTCATGATGGCACAAATGAAGAAATGCTAAAAGCCATGTACATTTATATTAATTCCATACTGCATGAATTATATTCACGAAGAAATAAGGGAGACAGTATTGCTCTGAAAGTCAACTTCAGTGTCACTAATTTGCCCAAAGTTTTTGCTAACATCAGCAGTATGTCACAATCAATGATTTAGTCTTTTTGGCAACTAAGTCTGAAATGATCCCAAATGGAAAAAAAAGAAAAAAACTCTGAAATTATAGAATAATTTTATTTTGCAATATCCACAACCAGTCTGACAGGGCTAATGCTGGAAAGGATGATGATGATGATGATGATGAAGGAGGAAGCTGGAAGTTCAATCTTACAGCAGTCAACATAAAGAAAACACTCTCTCCAAACTTCAGCTCCCAGAAGAAATACATATAAAATGTTTCAAAATCACATCTTATAAAGATGTGGCTGGAATTATATGAATTGGGAAGCACTACATAGTTTCTTGGAATCAGATTATCAGGTAACTGTGCAGTACTTAGGAATAATGATGCCTTACTAGTGCATTAAAAATTATGGAATATGGTGCATGGTGCTGAATTCTTTCTCTTTTTAGCTGCAAGAGTAAACTCTTATTTCCTAATCTGCATGTCAACCTCCTTTAAAGTTTCAGCTGCTACATATTTTAATACAGATAATGGAAGCAACCATATCCTGGACAAGAATGGGTACTACTTTTACTGTTTATGACACATGCAAATAATGTAGTAGATGGATATAAAGTTAATGCTGTGTAATAAACATTTTAATCTCCTGCCCTTCCAAAATAGTAGTGTATGTCTACTTCATGAATATGACAAACAAAAAATACAGCACCATTTTCTTGGTTAATACACCACTGCCGCCACCTCCCTTCATGAACTGAACTGAAAACTCTATGAACAAACGCTGAGACTCACAATGCAGACTGTCAGACTCTTCAGCACCAGAGTCCTGTCGGGTCAGGTCCCTTTCTGGAGGGTCGCCCAGCAGCAGAGGTACATGTGGGCCAAGTAATAGTTCACAGCGGACTACAAGGAGCTCCACCAGATTCGGGACAGCCCGTGAACTGGCAGGAGTAGGTGTATGCGCCCATAAGAGGCTTGGTCCAACACAGACGCCTAAGTTAGCAGCAGACATAAGATTGTGTGCAGCTCGACGGGCAATATGGTGCAGGACACAGAGAAAGTGACTCAGCAGTGTTACACTGGATCGAGGCAGTTGCTCAAGCACGCTGAAACAAGATATTTCTTTATATTTAACTTCCTGCAGAGAAAAGAATTTCATCATCCTGCATGATAGCCACAAAATAAAACTCGAAGACTGGTAATAAATAAAAATGGAATCAAATAGCTGGAGAGTCCAACCATAAGAATTTTCCTGGTAAAGCGCACCTTTTAACCCTAATCAGTTTCTCTTGTTCTTCTCTGCACTCCAGAGCTTCCATGTACAGTGGATAGAGAGCAGCACCAAGCAGAGGATCTGGCAAAGAACGAAGGAATTCCTTGAGCAGTGCAGCAACAGCCAGGACAGGGATGTGTTCCAGTGCGAGCTCCTGTCCACTGTCCAGTTGCTCCCTCAGTTCCCTCACTAGTCGTGCATTTGCTGATTTTCGGAAGATACCTTGTGTGAATGGACCCTTAATGAATACTTGTTGTAGCATTGCCTGTGGACAGATAAAGTTGGAAACCTGACATCTTGAGTTTTGCAATGTGATACTAACAGTCTGTGAATTCATTTGAAGTTCCTTCACAAGATTTGAGTTTCTCACAGTAACAAATATTCCATGTGATATCTGGTTAGTAAACAGGTATCAATGTTTCAGAGGAACCTACTACTTTCAGCTTCAGGGTGGAAGAGCTAGCTGACAGGGGAAAAACTGTGTATGACAGACGGAAGAGGTGGATCAGAACCGGGACTCTGTGTGAACCAATACAAGCTGGTGATTTTAGGAAGAGTTCTCCCATGAATGGGGAAGAAAAGAAGAACTGTAGGAAGAAAAGTCAGGAAAACAGTTATATATATCTACCAAACTCCAAGCTGGCATATCTAAAAAGACTGTACTTGTTCCTCTATGGTTATACTAATTTTGAAAAAATGTTGGTAGACTATGCCTGACGCATCCTGATATTATCAGATACTAACTTTCAACATTATGTGATTAGAAGTTAATAGATTCTGTCAACACTTCCAGTATTCATACACCATTTGGAAATTTGGACATAATGAGTTAACACTTCTCTCATGAAATGGCAGCAGGTGATGATATCTAAGATGATGATATCTAAGGACCGTGAAAATCTGTGCATGTATACATGAAATTATATTAATGTATTACTGTCATTATGAATTACCTGTTATTTTGGTTGGAGGTAATACTTTTCTAATCTGTTGAACACCACAAATAAAATTCTTAAACAAATTCATACATAAAATGTACTGTGATCTTAACAAGAAAAGACATATTTGTTGAATATCTCATGATCTTGCTAAAGTATTCTATTGTGCAAGCCATGAATTACAAAAGGAAATTTTATGGAATTCAAAGTGTAGACTGACAGTGGTTTAAATCATACATTAACAGAAAATCAACAGATTCAAATTTTAACACCTATTACAATTTGGACATTGTAAAACACGCATTTTTGGAAGGTTCAAAGCTTCGTACTCTACTCTTTCTCATACACAACAATGATGTGTCCCAGCCATGAACTCTGCTTTCTGTGGTACTCCACATACTGGCAGGAGAAGCAATCAGATAGCCCATCACAGGAAGCCAATTCCTCATGGATTATGATAGGTGTCCATAAGAGCAGGTTCAATTAGAAGAAACATAATACATTAGAGGCTTGAAGGCAGGAGGGAGTGCATGTTCACCAAACAGAAATGTTAACACACTTCAGCTGCCTGCAAGCAACCGAAGGAAGCAAGAATGGAACAGTGAAATGTGTACTTCTGCTTGAGAATATTACATTATTAAAGATTTTGAATTAGATTTTAATTTGATGTGTATTTAGGAGTACTACCACAAAACAAAAAAATTTTAAAAATTATGCAAACCAAAACTCTCATCATCAGTTTCAGAATATTTTAACTGAGAAGTGCAGCAATTCTGAAAAGGCCTAGTCAGAAAGTCAGAGCTGCTCACATGGAGATATAGGACACTCTAGAGCAGTGCTGTCCAACGTTCTTATGTACTCAGGCACAATTCACCGATGCCTATGGGGGTGCGGGTGCCACCACTGAATTAATATTAAAAATTGGCTCAATTATATGTGGTTACGGAGGGCGCCAGAAAAATATACCACGGGCACCGCGTTGGACAGGGCTGCTCTAGAGCTTATGGTTAAGAGCCAACAAATCTCCACTGTTAATAATGATTAAAAAACTTCTTACTGCCTGCCATACTATGAAATAATGAACACTATGAGAGGACAGCGAACCAACTAATTTTCTAAAAGTTTCAAAATAAGGTCTGTTTCGTTTCTAGCCTTCAAACACTTTAAACAATATTATAAGATGTTTCCAGTCACTGCTTATGAGTTAACACCGAAATCATACAGATGACAATTTGATCCTCTTCTTCTGACAACTAATGATCTGTTGAAAAATTCTGTCTTCTGGGATGTGGCACCATGTACATCTTGGTTCACGCAATATCTACACAGTGCCACATCCAGGAAAATGGAACTCTTCATAATCACCGCCGTGAAAACCTCAACATAATTATCTGCTGTTTATTCACTGGAAAAATTTGTACACAGCAATATTTCACACCTGTTCAAATACTTGATCATTTCAGTTTTAATCACTGCCCTACCAGAATTTATAAAATTATCTGCCTTATAAACCATTACAATGTCCAGTGCATCTATCCAGCAATCATTTTCTGGTTTCAAGAGGACCCACACTTACCTATGGAACATAAAGACGAGGAGATACTCGCCATGCTATCATTAATGATACGTGAGAAGAGAATTCTTCAAGACTTAGACAACAGTCTGACTTCTACAACTCTGTGACAGATATTTTCAGTGAAAAGTCTTGACACCAAAAACTAAAGTACAGGATGAAATAAACAGAGGTGACCTGAATAGTCACTAACAATTTTCTCTTACTTATACCTGTATACTTACACCTATGCAACACACAGACTAAGGAGAGGCTCTATAACATTAATGACAACTAAGAAGAACTTCTTCAACAGTGAAAAAAGTCTGAACTTTTGTGACTGAAACATGGTTTCACCAAAAAAGAAAACTGTCATACACCACATAAACACACAGTGAGGAGAGAGAAAAGGGCCAGTTTCAGTAGTCGCTAACCATTCATTAGTCTTCTTTCCTTATTTTGAAAGAACTCAAGTAGGATTATGTGATCTTCATGTTGTCTGTGTATCCCCCTACAAACTTTTAAATGGCTAATCCGGTCTTCATAAAGCCTGGTATGTATATCATGCCACCTAAGCCCAACTCAACAGAGTACTTCATAAATCCCTCCCATCAGTCTACATGTGTATTCCCCCAGTTGTTGCTAGGCAATGGCTCAGTAAAAACATTACTGCAGAAATTAATATGCACACAACAATACAAGAACTGTTGGATGTAACATTTTTCCTTAGTTTATATTTCCTTCCCCTTTAATTCCTACATTCTTAGTTAAAATTTGCATAGCTGCCTTGTATGATGCATACAGATGTGTCTTAATTACATACCTCAAATATAAGCATCATATTTTACAATTAGAGGAACTGCAAAATGGATAAAGCAATCATTTGGTCTATAGACTCATATGATGTCACTACTGTTAATGCTCTCATGTTCACTATGGTAGACATGTTACTTACTGAAGAATGGTGCAGAATGCAGAGTATCCATTCAACAAATTGATAAATATGATACTACTGTACAGAGAAGCAGGGGAGAACAGTGCAGCCACAGCATGTCTGTATATTTATCTTTCTTATAAAGCAATAATAAAAAGCCTGAATCAATTTAATGCTAGGTCCTAATCTGAGTTCTTCCCATTACAGCAATGACATTCATATTATATGGTTAGTACTCTTGAAAATCACAAGTCAACCCCACAATATGTAGGATGGAAACCAAATTTAATTTCATCTGGAAATAATGGGGTTTAAATCCCCCAGTACTACAGTGCTGGTGGCTGCAACTGAACTTGGAGCTAATGGTATCAGTATTTAAAAACTATTGGCCAGCAGGCTCATGCTATCACAAAGCAATGTATGGCCAATGAAAGTTAATATTAAATATACCATGACTGGTCGAGGGATTGTGTCTGGATCTCCAAGCCTGTTGAGTGGAATGCCAAAGAGGGTCCCTGTAGCTACTGGAGATATAGGACTAGGGCAGTCAGTGCAGTCCTCTCCTTTACTGGTGCTTCGTCTGAACACTTGGCGAATTCTCATTGGTGATTTTCGACTCTTCTTGCCACCATTAGTCAGGCCTGCAGTCTTCTTTGGATCATTACAGCATTCGCCTGACTTTCTCTTGCTCCTAAGGGGAATTAAATCTCTTTCAATATTTGTTGTTACCAGCCATTGCCATTTAAAACCTTCTTGCAGCAGCCACAGAAGAAAGGGGGTATGTGAAGTTTCAATCAAGAATGCATGTTAAGAGGATTTCATACAACCTACTACATTACACCTTATGGAAGTATTCTGAGATGTAACTTTGTAGACGACAGACAACTGCAAACAGCATGTATCTTACCTGAGTATGAACTGGCACTTGGCTAGAGGGTCAGGCCCATGTACATTGTTACAATGATCCAAGTCAAAGCCCTCCTCAGTGCTGAGCCCATCACGCAGGCAGCTCAACTTGATTGCAAAAGGGCGCTCATGACCAATAAGTGGATAAGGAGCTTCCTCACGTGCTGTCTTAGCCCACAGCTGAAAATCATCTGGATCCAAGCCCCGCATCTCCAGGTGCTCCAGTGCTAATCTTATACAGGTGCGGGCTGTCTCCTCAGGACCCACACTGAATGTCTTGCACTGGTGAAGCAACAAGATTTGCATTTAATCTCTGAACCACATAAACTCTAAGCTTTAATCTGACTAAAATCAGGAAGGAATCTGATTGAGGTGAGATTTTCCAAGATCATCCACAGTCCCTCAGAATAATTAGAAGATAATGCAATAAAGTAGAGCATGGCCACATTCCACAACATTCAGAGTCACTATACCACACCTTATTTGCCCCTTACATAACCCAGGCATGTGACAATGTCGTAGTACAATTAAACGATGGCCATACTCGTACATGCTGAACAGAGCAAACAACTCAGTCTGCAAAGTTACAGGCAGAATATCTAGTACAGTGACCAAATTTTATGAACATTATCCATCCACCTAGTTGTTACTTAAAATGACATTTCAGAGACTAAGCTCTGTCCCTCTTCTACTGTAAGAAACCTACTGTAGTATGCCCAATTCATAAAGCTAGTCCGTATATCTGGGCACCAGAAGTAACATAAAACAATATATAATACAAATAGGAGAAAACCCATCTGCAGGAGTTGAGACAAAAATACATAATGAACCACACACGAGACCTTGCAGCTAAGGCTGTGCAAAACATTCCAGCCAAAAGTCCAACTTAATGTTGAAATTGAAACCACTTTTGCAAGTTCCAAATGGGTATCATGACACAAATTAATCAATTTGTTGACATATGTATCAATCTTTATAAGATCTTTCTAACATGATGAAGACAGAATACAGGTGCTGAGAATTAAAATTCAAGTAGATAACATTTTCACTTAAGTACATGAAAAGACTTCAGTCTCTGAAACAGTTTTAGAAGAAAATTATTATAATGGACAAGATCCAAAAACGTATCAATGTACCACCATCACAAACTTCTAGAATCACAGTAACTAGTGTTTTTATTCTTTGTAGGGGTAGGATTTTTCACCATACCTGGAGTCATATTCTGTCCCCTGTATAATTACTACCGAGAGATTTTGTCAAAGATGAAGTGAAAGGTAAAAGTAAAAGGTAAAGCTATCCACGTAACAGGCGGTGGAGGCCCATTGGGTTGTGAGACATCAAGGCTCCCCCACATTTTCTAGACAATCGGCTCACAGACTGCTGTCAGACTGTCAGCCTCATACACCAGCCAACCACCCATTACTGCTAGAAAGATTCCTGGTACTTATTTCTGTCAGAGGCTGAGTCGATCCCAGGGCCATTGTGCAGCTGGAAGGATCAGGTCAACTGATATATCCAATAACCTCATCAGGAATCAAACGGGTGCAGTGCCTCAACCAAATGCACTACCAGTAGCGAAGCTGAACACTCAGCACCACTGAGAGCTATTGTGTAACCTCTGCAGATGAAATACAGCACTGTATAACCTAATAATCAGTCAAACTTCCATCTACTAACAAGGCCTAGAATGTGTGAACATGCATGCCCCATACATGCCTTCCCAATGTGGTGCCCAGACACAGGGACATCTCTACCTACCAATCACTCAACCCATTAACAACCTGCCACTGATCCATAACCTTAACCAAAAGAATCCAGCTTATGCTTTCCCACCCATTTCTCCAAGATCCAGTCTAATATTGTCCTCTCATGTATGCCTAAATTTTCCACATGGTCCCTAATTAGTTGGCACTAACTTCGTTCACAAGCGGCAGTCGCTCAGTCAATATAGTTCGCTTGCAGGATAAAACCACGGAGTTTGTTTTGTTTGTTTGTCTCTAATTCTTTACATTCCAACCTTACATTCTTAATTCCAGCATGTAACAGTAACAGAACATTCAACAAAAGTGCTTAGGGCATTGAATAAAATTTGAGGAAACTCAGCTGCCAAAAGTAATGCCGAGATTTTTCTAATTCCAAGTACAATTTCTGACACTTTCATTCTATTTACATTACAGTCAAACATTATGTCTTGTATTCACACATTTCAGTGTCATCACTGCTACACATCTCAAGTATACTTTTTAGCCAACTTTTAGGTTTTACATTTATTGATAGCATCCTGTCAATTCCAGAGTGAATCTTAGTATTGTGGCATACAGAACTGTTGTTAAGTGGTGACTCCATAAACAACAGTGCTGCTATGTAATAGGAAAATAAACAAACACTCTTTTCTATGCAATGGTTGAGGTACTGTTCGACTGTAACAATGGAAACAGTGTTTTCTATGTAGTTCGTGCCAAAATGTTATGACCAGGGTCAGTCGAGTTCCGAAGATCTCAGTTGTCAGTTGTCATCAGTTCAGCTAAGTGAAGTGATGTGAAACAGCTAGTTGATGAGTGATCAGCTGCCAGTTGGAAGTCATCCTGTATAGAGAAAACTAGGTGGTTGATGTGAAATGGCTGCCACCCTGGGACCAAGTTAGTTGAGTTGTCAGTTGACACAACAAGACATGTTGACACGGCTGGCTGTGACAAGAGGATCAGAGCATGGGAAGCTGAAGAATCTCCACTGACAGAAGACCTTGCTAGGAAACGGCTAGTGGAGACTGTAATAGACTCAGGACACTTGTCTATGTGTGTCTGTGATCTGAAAAGTGCAGCTCCAAGAGGTGTATACAAGTAGTCAGTAAATCCATTATCCAATCCATATCCTGTCTATAGTCACACCCCTAAGTCACTGACAGTATGTATCAGGAGAGGACAGAACATGCAGAGGAACACAGTTTTCAGAGGAATTTCACCAGAAGGGAAAACATTCTTCATATGCTCCTGATACAAATCATACCACTAATATTCCCTCAAACGTTTGTGTGTGGTGCTACCCACACTACATTTGCATTTGATATACCACACATAAATCTGTAACGAGTTACAGTCTACTGGAACGTGACACCAGGTAGTATGGTAAGTGTATCTTAATGTTCGCCATGTCACAGCCTGAAATCTCACATATAATGCATCCCTTGACTCAAAAAAATTTAAGGATAAGTAAAAATGTATATTTTGTGGCCAAATGATTTAGTAAATCATAATGAGCTTTTCTGGCACAAGGAATGAAATATATGCAAAGCACAATAATTCTGGGGCTCTCCCCGTTTATATCGAAAACTGTATGACCTACAAAAAAATAAACTGGATTTTTATATGTGTGCATTTCATTTTTCTCCCCAATTTTTGTTTCAAACGTTTTCTTCTCTGCTAATTATTTTCACAGTTATGCTTAAAACGCACACAAAACTGCTACACTTTTTCATGTAGAGACCATTTCTGTTGGCCACTTTTAACCAGAATTTGAATGTATGGACACATTTTAATAATATTTCACAGCATTAAATTTCATAATCTAATCAAATGTTCTCTGGTACATGCAGAAAGACAGATGAATGGAGGAAAACACTGTGCAGCTAGGCACATTTTGCAATTTTTCATTTTGGGCACCAAGTGTCCTATGGGTATGCCACAAACATATAATATGCACCAGTGCTTTGATGGGGCTCCCTGGTTTCTACACCTGTGCAAGATGGCTCATTCAGTGAAGTGACTGGCCTTGGACTGCACAAGCTTCAGTTCCTGTCAGCAATAGGACTTCGCCCTTCATTAAAAGTGTCAGACTGGCTCTGGGGCCCAAGTTAATAATGTATGGATCCTGCCCCATCGTCATGGTGTGGTGTTTAGGCTCAAATATACACACTAATTGAATGATTGTCATGCACTTCTGTATTAAGACCATATCAACGAAGACCATTGAGTATTCAAACTGTTAAACTCAACAATACCAAAACTCTGGCATGCCATCTTCCATCTAGTACTCAGTTAAGAATGTGTGGAAAAAAGATTGGATGGTATGGACTGGATTCATTTGGCTCAGGATAGAGGCCAATGAAGGGCTCTTGTGAACATGATAATGAACCTTCAAGTTGCATAAAATATTACGAAGTTCTTAATTTGCAGGGCAACTGATAGCTTTGAAAGAAGGACTCAGCTCCATGGAGCTAGTTAGTTTAATACTATTACCACTTCAGAATCTGACAGTTACAAAAGTTACTTTGATGGTAAGTGCATTCTTAAACTATTATTTCTTTGCAAGACAAGAAGTATCAAGTTAACTTCTGCCAGACTACACTGCATCACATACCAGGAGACACTAATCTTTGTACCATGTCAGCACTATGAGAATCACTGATCTGATTTACATAAAAGAAAAGCGGCCTCCGTAGTCTAGAGGTAACGTTCCCACCTCATGACTCGTGGTACGCGGGTTCAAATACCCGGCGGAGGTCGTCGAATTCTTAAGGGCGGAAAAATTCAGGGAACAAGTCCTCCGGGAGGGACTTTAAGCCGTGTGTCCCGTGTCGTAGCTTTACGGCATGTAAAAGAACCTCATATCTCCAAAGGAGNCGGTCGGGACTGATGGTACGCACCAATATCGGTAGGGTATAGAGACTGGTAGAATATCATAGAGGGAAGCACAATGGACCAATACTGGTCTAAGTGCATGGGGGAACCCACCCTCTCCAATAACCAACTAACTACATAAAAGAAGGCTCAACTTTGGCTGGTAATCACTTTTGTCGTGACCCAAGTGGTTTGTGAGCCACAATATTGGATCTGCTTTGGCTAAATGGGGTATTCCTGTGTTGCACTCACATATTCAATGCTGGTGGCGCAGTCATAGTACAGTAGTTGGACATTGGTGGCCTGTGGTTCTTTGCTTCGCTCACAATCCTTCACTTCATTCAGTTTGCTCCACCAAAGATCTCGCGCTGCTTGCGTGCTGCAAAGAAAACCAGGCTTGAATGAACTCATACTCAACATTACACCACTTAGCACTATAAAACACATTTTCCCTTTATTCTGTTCTACTTACACCATTTCAACAAGGAAGTCTGAAATATTACGACACTTACATTTGCCCTATAAATTTCAAGGTACAAATTTGATCTCTGCCTGAAGTTTATCTAAATATACAAATACACATTTATACCTCACATGAAACACACTAGGTTTCAATTATTAAGACCATCTGAGTAATGACATTTAGGAAAATAATCAATGCTGTGAGAATAAAAATATATAACCACACTGTGACCTCAAAACAGAGTTTCTTTAGTGTCAGAGCACATGCTACACTTTAATGGACTAACTGGCATGGGCCATGTAATACTGAACATATAAAGACACAGTCTGGACTTCTAAATTGAATTCATGGTGACGAGCATCACTGGCAAAAACTAACACAGCATATTTTGAGATACAATTGTGGCATTCAGATGCACAGATCAAGGAAATACACACAATAAGCCTATAATATTACAGCTACAACAACCTGCTTGATGAGCTGAAACATGCTACCAGTCTACACACAGCAGTTGGCAACACCGTGCAAACAGTAACCATTCATTCCTTCACTCATTATCTTCATTAACAGTACTAGTCAACTGTATGAAGTGCAGTGATGGATAGATGTGTCTTATATGAAAAGCATGGGGAGGAACTGATAATGGCTTGTTTGAAATTTGTTTTGGTACCAGTCTGAAGGAAAAACACAAAAACCATAAACCAACTTCCCTGGCCTCAATTTAAACAAGAATTGCTACAAACCAGTCTGGGACAAGAACAATTTTTTTTTTCTTCTCTGTCTGAGAGAATGAAGATAAGAGATGAAGAAAGCAGAGAAAGTATTGAGAGAACAGAAGCAAGAAGGGAGAGAAGTGGAAGAGAGGAGACCTACAACCAATTCACGGGCCTTCATCAGATTGGTCACACATGATCTTATACAAGGCCATCTGTTAAAGAGGGGGCCAATGTGACATCCCCTGTACCCTTCTACTTATGATGGAGAGTGTAAAACATTCTATCTTTCTGGCACGTTACACAACATCCTAGGAGATTATCACGATAACTTACCTAACGCCATGATATTCCTTTGTGGCATAGGAATTGAAAATTGACAGTTAAATAATAAATTTCATTTTATCTCCGATTTGGCCTGGTTTATTTCTGGTTGTTTTATGATTTTTAAAAGCCAATATACAAATAGTTTTATAAAGTTTTTTAAGCCCATACAGCAGTCTGACATAGATAAATTTTTAATTAACTTTATAGTGTTATGTACAAGTAAAAGGTTCTCTAGTTTAATTTCTATTGTAACATGGACTGCCAGAGCGTTGCTAGCTAACGGACCTGTGAACACCCCACGTTACACCCAGGCAACAATAGTAAAAAGAGGTTATGCAAAACGCTTCCATGCAACGGCTTGGTAAACACACTTCAGCAAAGACGTCACACCCCAACAGTACTACAGTTATCACGTGACTTGTTTTCGGTCTTGTCTGTGTGGCGAGTATATGATGAAGACCATTTAAGCTTGAATTGCTGGATAGTCCAGTAGAATTCTGCAGTTCAAAGCAACTGAGAGACTAGCGCGGAGTGCAGTGCAGTTGTGACTTCTAAGTGGTTCAAGAGATGATAAGAGTAGCGAAGGTAACAGACTGACAGACAGCAGAGTTCCAGAGGCTATAAAATAACATTAGAATTGAAGTGTTGAAGACTCATATGTTATTGTTCCAGAAATAATTTGGAGTATTATAATTCTTTGTACTCGTAGTTACGGCTGGTAGTTATCCAATAATTCAATTGCCAATCCAGGTCCGCGTTTTAGTCACTAACACACGTGACACTATATAGGCGCATATCGCCATGGTAGATGTGTCCATGCTTATGAATTGCATTTTCAACCCCTCGGTCCAGATTTAATGTTTCAGCAGTCTCTTCACTTTGTGTCTGTAGATCACAGTCTTATCCGTAGCACTTCCTGCAAGCTTACAATAATTTAACATAAAACAGTTGGTTGACATAGGATAGTAGCACCTTATGTCAACCAAACCCTTCACTTCCAGAACATTTGACGCTTTCTAAACCACCACTCAAAAAAATTATGCAGCCTAAGTTCCGCAAAACATCACAAATAAATCTCCTGTACAGTATTGTGACATGACGTCTGAAACCGGAGTAGTTCACTGCTAGGCAACGACTCGGCAAACACATTCCCGTGGAAGCGAACGCGCCCAACAATCGAAGGCCGGTGTTTTCTGTTGTAATGCTAAAATACGCTAAAATACAACATTATTAATAGTAGGAGCATTACAACGCACGCAGCCACAAAAAAGGACACATCACATGACACAGTATACATAAAATATAGGAAGAACGACTCCCATAGCGGAAGACTGATATAATACGCGAGTTTGAAATACGGCGTATAAGATGATAAATCTTAACAAATTTTAATATATACATTTTATTATAGTACATGTCGAATATACATTTTAAATCATTTTATAAACGACACATGATGGCGAGCAGTGCAATAGTTTAACGTAAATAACACACCTGAGGATGGCACAGTGATGCCGAAACATGTAGTGAAGTGACAAGTGATATTGTGTGCACTAGAAGATGGTCAATACATACACATCATGGACGCGAATCAGTGCAACAGGACGCTAAAATACAACATTACTTCTAAATACCAATTTTATCTCTGTATAGTCAGGAAGGCCTGAATCACGGAAGTGAGGCCAGCTTTACGCTCCGACTGCCTTTATTCATGTAGGTCTTTGTTGAGGGACTTCTGAAGTCATTATGATCTTATGGTTAAATTCACTGAAGACAAGCAGGGGCACAAACCACCTCATTTAGCAACCAACGAAGCAGATCTGTACGATTTAATTTTTTATCCATTCATTAATGTTTCATTTAAGAAATCTTCCGGTATCTCTGACTAAATATAGGAATTTCTGTGCAACCAGACCGCCACCCTGATTTTGGGGGGTCAACTTATTATTCCCCATGCATACACAACTATCACATGTTTTCGGTGGAATAACAAAAAATGAGTGTAGGGAACATCATATTTATTTGAAGTTACTTTGCAGAACAAAAAACGTTATTCCTTTTTAAACCATATTTTTCACTGGAAACTATTTTCTGTAGAAATGTATGGTTATTTTTCATTCATAAATTTCCAGAAATGTTAATTTGATATTGATTCTGCAAAACAGCAGCACCTGAACGGTACATTTCGGCATGCGTAACGCGTCAGGGACCACACACTGTTCGTAATTGAGAACAGCCATTCAACAGGAACTGATGATCCAGGGAAGCAAAAAATTAATTCAATAACTTTCATGAGGTTAACAAAAAAAAGTCGTTAAAAAGTTCCGCCCATTTCTTCTTCACTTGTGGTCCCCCTTCTCCCTGCAGTGTTTCTTCCTGTCGCAATCAAAAATAAATCGCTTTGTAAATGTTACTCCATCATAAAGGCTGTCAGTATCTATTACTGCATGTTCTATTTTCTGATAATTTTGCAGTTTTATCAGCTTTGTCTCAAGTAAATTCACCATTTACCCATGCACAGGGCTGAGTTTCGGAAAATCTTTCTTCCCGGATTCAAGATACACATCAAAAGTCAACTTTTTCACTAGTTCTGCAACTAATATCTCCCGTGTCCTTCAGCTTCCGTACCTCCTTCCTTCCTTACTTACTTGGCAGCGCCATAGCTCAAGCGGTTAGTCGCTGGCTCCCCACCGCGGCGGCCCGGGTTCGATCCCGGGTCTCGTCAAGTGGCATTTGTGGTGGACAAAGTGGCGCTGGGGCAGGTTTTCTCCGAGTACTTCGGTTTCCCCTGCCCATCTTCATTCCACCAACGGCTCCACAATCACACTCACCTATCATCTGGGGCTGGTACAATAGGCCAGAAGTGGCCGCCGTGCAGAGTGGACCCAGTTGGACTCCCCCCCAATAAGCGAATTAAAAGAAAACACTCTACACCTTTATTATCACTGCTTTATAGGTCTCTAGATAATAATATCAGAACGTAAAATAAATCCAACCTAATCCGTCCAGCCGCATTATGGGCCTGGGGTCGACTCAGCCTCTAACAGAAATGAGTACCAGAAATATTCTTGGGCGTAATGGGCGGCTGGCGCGTAAGGCTGACAACCTTGTCGCCATCTGTGAGTCGACTGTCTAGAAATGTGGGAGCCTCAACCTCTCACAACCCTATGGGCCTTCACGGCCGGTTACAGGGACAGCTTTTTTTTTAATAATAATAATAACTTTACTTACTTCAAAATGGAACTGCCCACATTCGACCGCTGTCTTCTGCCGAGAGGTGGAAATGTCTTCGCTTCATCTCGATTCCGTCGAGTTTGAGACACTGGAGGTGTTACAGGATGTGCATCAAATCCAGACTGATTCCACTTTTCATAATTAGTATTATCCGGAGGTTCAGTAAACGAATAGGAACGACGTGCCCGTGCTTTAACAGGACGTTTCCGAAAGCAACAATCGGTAGTGTTCTCTTCGTCTTCCACACAATGAAAGTGGGAACGAAACACAAACAGCACCTCGTCCGCATTTCCGTCTAACATGGCCATCATAAGACACATCAGTGTTAGAGCAAAATAACGGAACATTTTATCTTAATTGTTTAAAACTGAATATCATGAAAATATATTCTAATTTCTTCCTTCTAACCGGTAAACACTTTGGACAGACCAAGTTCCAGAAGCGATATCACTGCTATGACACGTTAACAATATTTTTATTTCACAGGAATGGACGATGTCAATTGTTGCGTCTCTTTAGACACCATGCAGAAGCAGAAAACTACGAAATTAAAATCCCTGTATATTCTAAAACAATATAACAATATCGGAAACCCACACTAATCACGTTTAAATGATTACCTGTTTCAGTTCAACCTCGCAAAAGCCAGTTTTTAAATACTTATCAGTCAGCTTCAGTATTTCATCAAATTCTTATCAATCCTTCTGTAATGACCCCACTGTATATTTACGATATCAGAACAGTTACAACTAGCTCGGATGGTCGCCTTGGACAGCACGTCGATTCCCACGCACAGTACACACGACAATGAAGGAACAAGCAGGTCTGGCGCGGAAGGTCCTACCCGTGTCGCCAGCTTACACAGCACTGAGGGAGAGGTAGATAACGAGTTTTCCCTTCCATAAATATACATAAAGCAACCCTTCGGCGACACTACCCCATCCCACAGCAGGTAATTTGCGGAAGGAGAGGGGGGAAAGGCCAACTTCAAATATAATGGTTTGTCATTTCCAAAACTAAAACTGACTCCTGCTAAGGTTTACCGCTATTTTTCTATTATTTTCTAAGAATTTCGAAGATAACCTTCGCAATCTAACATTCACAGAGAGTTGCAGGTTTATGGCTTAAAACCTCCTTCCACCTCAAACACGTTTGAAAGTTAGTTGCCCATTTCTCTACAATTTCCACTGCCCGGGTGCCCATTGCACATTACGTTAAATTATATTACACGTTAACTCAAAAAGGTTTCGTACATTCGGCACGTTTGCAATTAGAACACATTTTAGACCTATCCCCGTACAAATTTCAAGAGCCCTCTTCCAACACTGCCGATAAAAGTGCCCACTCTCTCCAAGGCGCTTACTCGGAACACTAGAATCATGGGTTCCAACTCCACTCGGAGCACTGATGTATGTCTTCTGTGCTGATGTTATCTTGTGTAGGTAGAAACCTTGGAATACGCTGATCCCCCGCACAGGAAGTCCTGCCACATGGGCTATGAAATAAGTTTATGAAAATCGATCACCAGAGACCTAGGACCACATTCGTCTGTCCTGCCTTATAAGAACCCTCGACAGTCCACTGATTGTCATTAAAAACAAGAACTAAATACATATATATTTCAAGTGGCTGTCATGTTGTTCTGCATTCTAAAAAGTGCCTTAACAACCACGTATTAAATGACGTTATTGTAATTTCTAGTTCGCCATGTTGGTATTCATGATAGCTAATTTAAAAATAGTAAGCTGCAGTTACCACTAATGCAATGAGGGAAGGGGGGCAGGTATGTCAGGTATGAAGATGCAGAAATCCAGTCTTTGCTTAGCCTTCTATTGTTTGGAATGCAGCAGAGTTTGATGTTCAAATTATACATTAGGCAACACTGCACACTCTGCTACCATTCTGGCCAAGAGACGGTCCTAAGGTTCCGCGTGTTCTCCCTAAATCCCCCCCCCCGGCAAAGACCGGGTATTACTTTCAATTGTTATAAAAAGAGTTTCAAATTTTGGATCTGGGCGCCCTTGAACTTCGTCCCTCCAAATGCAGGTCCAAATCAGCTCATGATCAAAGTGACGTCTGTGATGAGCTGTATCGATCAAAACGCAGAAAATGAGAGGCGTGCTCCTGAAATTCATAACAACGACTCGAGACCAGTTCACACGTGTCGACACAGCCGGATTATATTCAACGGCTTCTACAGGTGCTACGTAACGAAGAGAATTACCCCCCTCCACACCTATTCTTGGAACAGTATAGGTATCGTAGAACTGAAAATGTGGCACAGTTCAGATATTTGGGAACAACGACAACAGATCGAAACCTGATTCAGGACGAAATTAAGAGGAGATGGAACTCGGGTAATGCTTGCTACCATTCAGTCCAGAACCTTTTGTCTTCTCGTCTGCTGTCCAAAAACATAAAAATTAGAATATACAAAACTCTTGATTTTTCCTGTGATTCTGTATGGGTGTGAAACTTGGTCTCTGACATTAGGGGAGGAACATAGACTAAGGGTGTTTGAGAACAGGGTGTTGAGGAGAATATCTGGACGCAAGAGAGATGAAGTGACAGGAGGTTGGAGAAAACTGCATAATGAGGAGCTTCATAACTTGTACTCTTCTCCAAGTATAATTAGAATGATAAAGTCAAGGAGGATGAGGTGGGCAGGTCATGTAGCACGAATGGGGGAGACGAGGAATGCGTATACGATATTTGTGGGAAAGCCCGAAGGAAATAGACCACAGGGAAGACCAAGGCGTAGGTGGGTGGACAATATTAAAATGGATCTTTGGGCCTTCACGGCCTGGTACAAGGATAGCTTTTTTTTTACTTAGAGGGATAGGATGGAATGGTATGGATTGGATAAATCTGGCTCAGGATATTGACCAGTGGAGGACTCTTGTGAACACGGTAATGAACCTTCGGTTTCCATAACATGCTGGGAAATTCTTGAGTAGCTTTAGAATTGGCGGCTCCTCCAGAAGGGCTCAGCTCCACGAGTGAGTGAGTAAGTGAGTAAGTAAGTAAGAATACGACCTTACGGAGCACAGATTTTTCAGATGTGAACGCAAGAGAAAGAAGGGGACAGCATTTAGGGCAGCAGTTACACTGTAATTCCTGCAACAGTAAACATACAGCTAGCTACTCACAAGACCCCATAAGGAGAGTGAGCCCGGACAGCTGTCGGAATAGCAACGGTCTACAGGCAGGACAGGCGGGGTTCGATTCCCGGCAGGGACAAAAGACGTTTCTTTATTCCAGTATCCAGGCAGATTCTGGAGCATACCCAGCCTCCTATTAAATGGGGGTAAAGCGGCCGGGGCGTGAAGCTGACTGCTCACCTCCAACAAGTACCGAAGTCAAGATTGGTGGATCTATACCCCCACTCCCCCACACGTCTTCATGGCCTGTTTCTTATTTAACTAAGCACCGCAACATCTTTAGAAATTCATTCTTATCCGATAGGGAGGTGCTCGGTGGTTATCTGGGAAATTTAGCTTTTAGCGTCCACTACTCAGAAAGATGCTAAAATAATTTGTCCGCCAACTCGGCATCGAAGGTGTATCCTGCCTTTAATGGAACTCGATTATATCCTGCATCAGTTGAATCTTTTCCCATAATCAATTTCAGTATTGACGAATTCAAGTTCTCACAGCGATGATGTGTGTCATCTTCTGGCTTGTAGGGCCGTGCAGTTTGGGGGTTCCTCCACGAAACAAGAAGCCAATAAGAATTAGGTGGCAAGCAATTAAAACACTATATTCCCACCTGCTCCTACATCTCCTGAAAGGCTTCTTCCCTTGAGATCTTGCAACCCAAACTTTATACACATTTCTCAAACGTCATATTTGTGCTATTCGGTTGAGGGTAAAAATTATTAAGCTCCTCGGACAGAGACACTGAAATGAAGCAGAAGTGCTTAGTGCTTAAGCATCATACCGTTAAGACATTTGGGACAATGGACGTAAAGCATCCATTCCTATCTTGAGTACCCCAGGATTCCGTTGGGTAGGTGACAGTGTGAGCACAAAGGACTCTCTCGACTCACCAAGCCTGTAACCATAACCTCCAGTACAAGACACAGTGACACCAGATGCAAAATACAGACGAATTCTGCTAAACTTGAAGAGTAGATTCCTGTGGACTGCTCTGGATTCAAAGTCGTTTTTCCGTCTTTCACTCACCCGAATGTGGCGACCACGTTGGTGGTAGGCCAACCCATCACAAAGGATGTCTCCAGGGACTTGTTCACCTCCATGACGTCATGCATGGCAACCTTTGTGAGCCACAGTTCCGACACGCGTACCTTCTCCTTGAGCTTGAAGTGGCCGCCAGAACGCGCCTTGGCCACTAGGAGGAGGTCGTTGAAAAGGAACAGGTGACGTTCCTGACTCTGCACGCCCTGAAAGAATTCGACATATATCAATGAGAGACATTCATTTCCTTTGTGAAATCTAGACTGAATATTAACCGTTTCCGTATTGCGACTTTCTGATTACTTTACAACAGAAAAGTGTTGAGGGACGCCGCGCTATATGTACGTCTCTAACACGGTCTAACTTAACCTAAACTGGACTATTAAATACATCCTAACATAGTGTAAAGTAACCTAACCTAACCTGTCAACTACTCATACCTGCGTCTGTTAACCAGGCACACTCCGTCGCACACCAATACGTAGGTGTGCGGAACGGACAAGAATAATATTCTGATCTTCCAGAATGTGATGGAATTTAGTTTTGGTAGATAAGTGGCACGGCTTCAGAGAAACACACTGCCACCATCTTCAGGGTAGAAGAAAATAAAGGCTGCAGGCTGCTTTGAAACTCTGGTGAATATGGCGGCATATCGTAGAAGACCGCAATTTTAATCTCTCGAGCTCAGACAACAGCTTCCACATACCCAGTCTTGGACTATTCAGGCTGTCAGCTCCGGTCTTCTGCATGCCAAGGAAACATAAAACTGAAATTTATGTGTAAAAAGGCTCAGCATGGAAACTGTTAGACAGTTTTCAAGTTAATCATTTTATAAGCTTGTTTCCTAATTTGTCACCTGTCCGTGCCCCCCGTCTAATGTAAGGGGATGCGACGGGCGCTTCGTTCTGTACACACATCATGAAATATTTCTAGAAGGCAAAACAATTGATAAAGATGTATTCACGAGACTTTCAGTAACGTTGTCTTACAAAACGTTATAATGTGAATCACTGAACAGACGAAACATTCCCAGTAAAAACAAATAAAATACGAATTTAAAACGTCAAATTTTACGTTTCACTTGTCGGGATATATTAATATACGCCTTCATAGAGTAGTGTTCAATTAGTTCAGCACAGGGACAACTTTTCCTACTTTACCTCACTGTGCACTGGACTGACATGGAAAATTTGAAGTTTAAAAACTCATGGAATCCTGAAATTACAATTATTCCCCATTAACCATTTGAAGTCTGATGTTAATTTAAATAATGTCTGAAGTCTCAGATCATTTTTTTTCCTTGGCACTACAGCCCAAGTGGGCCCTGGCCTTATCTCCATGAGCTTCTCCGTTCACTTCGGTTTTTCTAGATCTTACACATTCGGTAGGACTCCTTGGGCGGGTGATCAGCTCGTCGCAAGGCCTCTACCTGTATACAAACAGAGAAAAACGCGCACACACACAAACTAAACATCCATTCCCTGAGTGGGATTCGAACCCACGATCCCGGTTTCCAAGCGAGCGAAGACAGTACACGCCTTAGACCGCTCGGCTACCGTGACCGGTTCAGACAATATGCCACACAGAAATCACGCTGCGTCTCAGTTAAAAACACAAACCGATCATTGAAAACAAACACCCACTGATGGCAAAATGCAAAAGTACGGATACATACAGCAAGCACTGTAATCTGAAGGACACAAAATACGGATACATACAGCAAGCACTGTAATCTGAAGGACACAAAATACGGATACATACAGCAAGCACTGTAATCTGAAGGACACAAAATACGGATACATACAGCAAGCACTGTAATCTGAAGGACACAAAATACGGATACATACAGCAAGCACTGTAATCTGAAGGACACAAAATACGGATACATACAGCAAGCACTGTAATCTGAAGGACACAAAATACGGATACATACAGCAAGCACTGTAATCTGAAGGACACAAAATACGGATACATACAGCAAGCACTGTAATCTGAAGGACACAAAATACGGATACATACAGCAAGCACTGTAATCTGAAGGACACAAAATACGGATACATACAGCAAGCACTGTAATCTGAAGGACACAAAATACGGATACATACAGCAAGCACTGTAATCTGAAGGACACAAAATACGGATACATACAGCAAGCACTGTAATCTGAAGGACACAAAATACGGATACATACAGCAAGCACTGTAATCTGAAGGACACAAAATACGGATACATACAGCAAGCACTGTAATCTGAAGGACACAAAATACGGATACATACAGCAAGCACTGTAATCTGAAGGACACAAAATCTCACTTATCAGGTACTGTAAATTCTAAAAAGAAGAATGGGACCAATACGCCCTTGCGGGGGCATGAAAAGGATGCGTCTTGTTTATGCATTGCGCCTGTCTACTGTTTAGGTATTGTAATGAAACTCATAACTAGGTTACGGACTAGACAACAAAGGAATAGGGGTTCGATTTCCAGCAGAAGCAAGCGATCTGTTTCTTCTCCACAACGTCCAGAGAAGCTCTGCGACCCACTCAGCCTCCTAAACAACTCGAATCGGGATTCTTTTTCTGGGTGTACAGCGGCAGGGACGTGAAGCTGACCACACCCCCTCACCTAGTGCAGAAGTTAAGAATGCGTACTAAAGGCGTAGTGCTTAATTAGGCGCAGGAACGATTCCAGTTTCATATAATAATACAGACCAGTCCGTAAGGTTGGAACCACTGTCACTGTTGGACATGGCACAGCCGCTACATTACATGTTCAATATATCCAACATTCACGCCGATGAAAATGCGAAAATGTTTTTATCCGTTCAAACCAACGGTATGACTTATTTAAAGTGTGATCTCACTGCTAGCCGTGACAATTCGCCCTTGAATATACTACTACCTGTGGCCCTATACTTACAGGGCACACCGTACAACTGCATAGTGTGAAGTTACATCAAACGGCTCAAGAGGTAACCTTACAGGTTCATTTACCTCACTACAAAGTAGTAAGATAATTATGTCTCTGGCTTAATTAAGCATCGCGCCCTGAAGACGTATTGGAGAGTGGAAGTATAACTCCAATCATTCTTAACCTTGGCACTATACTGCGGTGCTCAGCTCCACGCCTCGGCCGATCTACCGCCGGGAGAAATTGCCCCGGTCTATGGCCATGGAAAGCATAGCATTATCACGTCCCTGCTCGGAATCGAACCCCGAGTTCTCGGTCGCCCAGCCAGCAGCGTAATAGCCATAGAGACTCAGCTGCCCCGGCTGTTACGTAGTCACGAATCCGTTACCTGTTGGTTGAGCCCTTTCAATTTGACTGTTTAAAAGAAATCAGATCAAGTTTACTTTAAGATTCGTTTGACGCAGAGATCGATTCGTGATATTTTAAACCTCCACGCAGCTACAGATGTAGACCGCAACATCCGGAAGGACACTTCTCCGTAATGCATTTGTTATACGCACTTCAAGCAAGTGGCCCGCACTACTTCAAGACCTAATTGTTGTTGTAACTGAGGTTGTCAGCCTCACGTGCCGGCCGCCCTTTAGCCTCAGGAACATTCCTGATATTCATTTCTGTTAAGAGTCTGAGTCGACCCCATGGCCACAGTGAGGTTGGAATGATTAAATCAATTGAAAAATCCAATGGACCTCATCGGGAATCTTACGCACAAACTTGCGGCTTGTAGCATAGTGGCTCAACTAAGTACGCTAGCGCGTGCCCCCAATAATAATAATAACAATAACAAGAATAATAATGGAGTTAAGTGGGGTACATTCTTCCCTTTCACAAACAACTCGCTGACTGACTAACTAACTAACCAACCAACCAACCTGCTCCCAGGATCATCTCGAGCAGAAGCTTCCGCTCAGTTCACCGACGCCTTCAGGAATGCCCGCTGTCGGGCCCTGTTCAGTGCTCTACACTCTTGACCGACACGTCTTCCATAACCCCCTTTTAAACATATCAGCGTTACTGGTTCGCCCTGGTTCTGTATGAGCTCCTCCTTCAAATCTTCTGACAAAAATTAAGTATACCATTTTCATTTATTGCACACTCTGAACCTGATCATCTCACATGCACATTAAGCGCGTGACTAATGCAGGAACTGGAGGTAGAGCTCAGGGTTCAAAACGTCTTTATGCCCCCTTAAGACAGCAGCATTCACGAACAGGAAACAATTGTGATAGTTGTTGGCAGCTCCCCAATTTACAAAGAGAAGTAAACCTGAGGCACACACCTCCACAGGTCAAGAAGAACCAGCTGTAATACTATTTAACCACATTTTATTTCTGGTCAGTCAACCGACTCCATGTTACATGCGATACTCATCCACCTGGTCAAGAAATTCCCCACCTTCTACGGAACCTCACGATTCCTTACTATATTACAGGAGTCGAGCTGGTTTCCAGCCTTTCCCAGATGAATCCGGTACACAACCTCCCATCCTGTTTCTACAGGCGTATATATGACAGCAGAAGCCACTCAACCCTGTACAGCCCGCACACTGCCGCACAGTTTGCACTTACCGTTGTCAACTGGACTGGAGCTTCCATCAGGAACTGCCGTTTGTCCTGGCCGGAGCGGGGCAAACCTTGGTCCCTGTTGCCCGGGGTCTGCGGACCACCAGTCGTGTCACTGGGGCTGTCTCCAGCCCCGGGTCTCTGGGTCTTGGAAGACAGTGCTCTCTGCAGACGGGCAGCGGTCGCTGACCGCTTGCGGATGAGCCCTTTCATCTTCTGCAAACATAACGGAGACTATGGAGTGAACATATACACGTGCCGAACAAGTAGCCCTCTATTGGCTACAGTACACTCGGAGATGGCCTATAAAACAGTAATAGTCTGTAGTACTGCCCAGAAACAGCCCGGATAGCTCAGTCGGTCCAGCGACGGGCATGAGCAACGCGTCCAAACCGGTTCTGAGACCCACCGAACCTATCCAACGGACCAATAAATACCGGGGATTTTTTAACCGGGTTAAAGTGGCGAAGGCGTCAAGCCTCTACCTAGTGCCGAGCCGAAGTAAAGAATGGTGCAGCTACACCTCCACTTCCCCATACGTCTGCGTGGAGTGATGTTTAATTAAGTACAGGGGCAACTTCCTGCCATCAATCCCTCGTGAAACTGGATACAGGTAAAAGAGTTCAACTGACATAGGTGCTGGGTCACGAGGGTACTGACGGCACTGATACTGTGGATAAACTAGCAAACTTGGGATCTGAAATGTCCGCTCGCAGGACTTGAACTAGCTTACGGCATCTCACCAGGAGTTGCCAATAAGGCTGTCAGGGACTGGACAGAGACCATCAAATATATTAGGAGTCCCTTCCCTAACAGGACACAAATATGCAAAGGGATTCCTACAAGGAATCTCTGTCAGAAGAACCAAAAACTGTTAAAACTAAACCAGTTACGGTGGGCGACAGGCCTACTTACAGGGCACTGTCACCTGAAAGGACACCTCTTCAAAATGAGACTGACGAACAGTCCCGTTTGCGAAATGTGGCCACGAAAAGATGAAGCAGCCACACATACACGTCCTATGTGACTGTGAGGGTATTGCTTGCTTATGATTTCGGCGCCTGGGCCATTACTTCATGGAGCCAGGTGACTATCAAGACGCCCCTTAAGTATGATATCGCACAAAAAATTGAGACTATCGCAACCCAGTGTCCTCCACGTACTTCCATACCACCTGCTCGAGGAGCGCACGTTTCCTGAAGATCGTCCTCTACGGATACAATTCTGCTAATGCCTACAACATCAACGCACTGCGGATAAGCTCATGTTTTCAACGTCCACAACGGCCACCTCTGAGCACGGTATAATCCTCATGTTATCCGCGAACATGGGTATGACGTCTGCTTCAGCGTCAGAGTTTGGACTGGAATCGTCGAGGGCATTGACGTGGGTCCCTATCTGCTACCTGTTAGACTCGCCATTTTCTGGAAACCGTTCTACCGGGGCTGCTTGATGATGTGCCCTTAGCTGTGAGGCGGAGGTTATGGTTTCAGCGCGGCAGTGGCTGAACGCAACATATCCAGGAAGGTGGGCCATGACCTCCTCGGTCGCCGGATCTAACTCAAGACAGATTTTTTCCTGTGGGGACACCTGAAGGAGCATGTTCATGCAATCCCTTCCAGGACTATCAAAGATCTCGTGGCAGGACTTCAAGCAGCCAACATGTTAAGGCGCATTCGAGATGTTTCCGTGCGGCGCACTGCCGTCTGCCTTCAAATGGACGGATGCTGCTTCAAGTAAGCACGAGGCGCCCACGTTTGATAAGCTGATAGCCTGCGCCATTTGACTGTGATATATTTTGTATACGTAGCAGGACATACGCCGGTGACGGTAGCCGAGAGGTCTAAGGCATGCACTCTCTTCGCTCGCTCAGAAGCCGGGGTTGTGAGTTCGAATCCCACTCAGGGTATGGATGTTTGATATGTTTGTTTGTGTGTGTGTGTGTGCGTGCGTTTTTCTGTGTTTGTGTACAGGTAGGCCTTGCGACGTGCTGATCACCCGCTCATGGAGTCCTATAAAATGTTTAAGATGTAGTAAACAGAAATGAAATGAAAAGTAGTTTCATGGAGGAAGGCCAAGGCCCAAATTAGGGATGTAGCGCCAAAAGAATAAAACAGGACATACTGTAGGCTTTGCAATATTTTCGACTTTTGGGGGAGGACAGAATCATAATCTGCAGAGTTTGTAAGTGAATTTCGTTTAATATTGGATATAATCTACACAAAATCAGCTCCAACCGTACAGAAAACGAACTGGGTCTACGTCACAAAAACCAGTTGGTTAATGGCGTTTAGGGAAATATTCATACTTTATTCTAGGAATCACACAAAACCATAAATAGACTCTGTGAGCTCAACACAAAGTGCTAATGTTAAAGTAGGTGGTACATATAGCAAATGTTCTCTTTCACACTGTTGTGAATCTTGCAGTTCTCAACATGTCACTAACTTCACGAAGCTAAGTTATTCTCCAGAAATTGCCAGTATCTCAGCTTGTGCACAAATATAACACCTTTCATCGAACATGGAGATTCGATATCGTGTTCATAAGCTACAACCATTAGACCCTAGCCTGAGTGAACTGAATCCAGACCTCATTCATCCATCCTATTTCTCGAAAATCAATATTAATATTACCTTCCTACCTACATTAAGGTCTTCTAAGTGGTCTCCTGCCTTCAGATTTTCTGATCGACATTTCATATGAACTTCTCATATTCCGCATCTATGCTTTGTGTTCCGCCTATCTCAACCACTTGATTTGATCGCCTTATTAGTTCAAAATATGAAGCTCTTCATTATGCATCCACACTTCACCGCTTCGTCCCTCTCAGGTCCAGGTGACAGCAGCATGAGCCTAACCGTGGACGTATTTGAGGAACTGAATGTTGTGGCTTATGTGGGACGATCATCATCATCAGTAATCTGTCAGACGACAGGTCCACAGTCTCTTCCAAAACAGTTCCTCCACTTAATGCGATCTAGAGCTTTCTCCTTCAAATGACAGTATCCTCTTCTGTCCCCAAGGTCATCCAGCATCTTCTTACGTCTTCTTCCTCGTCTTCTTGTCACTTCTATCCGCCCCTCTATCTTTCCTTCAATAACTTATTTTAGAAGGCAGTTACTGCGTAAAACATGACCAGTCCAATTAGCCTTCAGTTTTCTTATTTCGTGTAGGATATTCCCCTGCTCACTGACTCTAATTAACACTTATTCATTTCTCACATAATCGGTCCAACTGATCTTCTCCATCCTTCTCCAACACCACATTTCGAAACTTTCCACATGTTTCTGATCTACTGCCCTAAGTGTCCATGTTTCAGCCCCATACAGAGCTATGCTCCAAATGTAGCATTGATATGGAAATATTATTTCTTGTTTCTGAACAGGATAGCACAAGAGAGGGGTCTAATAACATGGGTAGCAAAATTTGAGCCAGCAGCACAGCTGCTGCGTGAATATATCTGACAAAATTTAGTTTTTGCATACCATTTCTTAAGCCTGACCCAACTGCGAAGACACCCTTGAACGAACGTATCGCAACATTAACACGAGACCAAAATGGAAGGGTAATTCCATCCTCTGGTTTCCTTTACCTGGTATATCCACTGAACAAATGGCTGGAAGGGACTTACAGATGTTCTGGGTAGGGAAACAAATTATTAGTGAAGAGACTTACCATTGTTATAACATCTTTATCGTAAAGTCTGAGACAGTCGTTCGGGAACAGATCTTGAATACGTTCCAAGTCACTTTCTTCTTGTCCACGTTTCACCGCCTGCAACAAAGAGAAGCACTCAAAATGCCTTCAGCCTACTTCTCACTTTCTTTACTTCAGGAAAACAAGAGGCTTATGAAATCACTATGCTGTGCCCCCCTTATTCCAGCTTTTGAATCGAGATCAATTTTAACAAAACTTGATATAAACGTTAAGCCACCAGAGGCCATCCCGACGTAATTCCTAATTCCTTACCAGCAGTGATAACATGGATGCCGCACGAAATGAGGTGGAAGCGACACTAACCATATTAGCGACAAAAGAAACACTTCATTTGAGGCCGCGCCATAGCTCAAGCGGTTAGTCGCTGGCTTCCCACGGCGGCGGCCCGGGTTCGATCACGGGTCTGGTCAAGTGGGATTTGTGGTGGACAAAGTGGTGCTGGGGTAAGTTTTCTCCGAGTACTTCGGTTTCCCCTGCCAATATTCATTCCACCAATTGCTCCACGATCACCCTCACCTATAATCTGGGGCTGGTACAAAAGGCCAGAAGTGGCCTCAGTATAAGGGACTTAGTCCCGCCCCACTAGCAATAAAAACACATCATTTGTGCTCTTGAAATGAAGTGCGGTAACAGAACACATTTTACAAGTATTTGGGTAACTATGTTTTGTACAATGTGAGACAACACATGGTAGGCTTCGAGAAGTTTCTTCAGCTTTCAGTTTGATGACGATAAAAAATGACCACCGGAGCTAGGAATATGAAATCCAGTAATTGCATCTAGACATTACGTATGAAATGTTTAAACACGGCGACGATGATAATCGAGGTAACGTATGACAAATTTAATTAGACCACAAATTTGGCTCAATTTTCGTTCTCTTCTGGTTTCATGGCGCCAACTTAACAAAAACACTGGGGATCTATACGTGAAATTTACAACAATCACAAGCATGCATATACATTTACGAAACACCATTTTGAAAACAGTTAACAGATTGCTGTACGTCGACGGTGTCATAGTTTGAGGTTACATCCGACAAATACTCTTGCTCGATCTTGTAAGAGGTGGTATCCTGCAAACAACTGCGGGTTATTCTCATTCCACCCCAATTTCATCATCACTTCAGTGCCCTCAGAAACTTCCGTGGCCTGTACATTAAACGAGTCTATCAGTATCTCTTGACTATACAGGTCTCAGTGGACTATGAGCTGGAAAGGACGTGGAATGAACCGGTGACGAGTCTAATTTAAGACAGAATTCAGGCATTTGCCCACCTGAAACTTTTGAGAAAATCCACGAATACAGATCTCTGGGCCTAGATCTGAACCCGGCACCTCCCGAATACGAAGCAGGGCTCCGACTACGTGGCCTGTATATACCATCACCCTCCAGGTCCCTCTAGACCAATGTGCCCACAGCACTTCCCAAACAATCCCCTGAAAGACGTGGTCCTTTTGTTAATGAGACCTCGAACATGAATGGATCAAACGAGAACAAAGGGGCGTTGTGTTTCATCTCAATACCAGCAGACTGCGCTCTTATGTCGCTGAGCCGCGATAATGGACAGCAGAACAGGCTGCAGTGGCGAAGCAGGAGCCCACAGCTCAGTCTTCAAAGAACGAATCCTAATGGGCTGCGATTATGCAAGAAAATCGAAGTCCCTTTCATCAAACCTGGTTGAGGGGGGTGAAGGGGTAGTATCAGTAGACAGGAGTGGCCAGTTAGGTGGCTCGGCCGAGTACTGAGTTCATAGGTTAACGCATTCCAGGGTCTGAAGAAAATCACTACCCTGGATATACAGTGCGTTCAGTTAAGGAGGAAAGTTCGCAACACCGCTGATCCGGCCCAACATTCCTCACAGATTGCTGCTGCAACTGCTGATAGCAGAATGAGTCATTAGCGCTGATAAACGTGCGCCGTTACAGTTACAGCAGCAATCTCTGAGGAATATTGGGCCCGGTCAACGGTGTTGCCAAGTTTCCTCCTTGATTGAACACCCTGTATTTACTTGTTTATTCAACGCGTTCAGTAGTTCAGACTACAAAGAGCAATATTGTTGATGATCAGTGCATAATGAAATGTACAGAATGTACAGATATTATACCCGATTTAGCTTGAAACTGAGGAAACCCACGAAACACGTACGTCAGGACAAGCGGTATCCCGGAAATTTAGTACATCCTCACTTCAATTTTATTTTTAATGGTCAAGTTATTTTTAAATTGAATTTTAAATAAGTGCCTGAATGCATTTAGATAGTGGCAACTCAGATGCTTTCCTTAGCACCTGTACGGGAATCATCAGGTGTCTGAAGACCAAGTACACAAGAGCAGCCTGCGCCACAGCTCAAGCGGTTAGTCGCTGGCTTCCCACTGCGGCGGCCCGGGTCCGATCAAGTTGGATTTGTGGTGGACAAAGTGGCGCTGGGGCAGGTTTTCTCCGAGTACTTCGGTTTCCCCTGCCAATCTTCATTCCACCAATTGCTCCAAAATCACCCTCACCTATCATTTTGGACTGCTACAGTAGGCCAGAAGTGGCCGCAGTACAAGGGACTTAGTCCCACCCCACTAGCAATAAAAAATGAAATAAAATAAATGAACCGAACGCCGAAGTCACTGTTTGGTTATTCGTCGGCAGAGAGTATTGATATCAGGTTCACTGTATGAGCCGCAATTCCTCTCACTCAGCACTTAAAACTGCCACACTACGCAATTGCGGAAATTAACTGAACTAACACGAGAACTTGCACTTATTTATTTTGTCGGTCGTAAAACCGAAGATCGTGCACATCAGTATGTGTACTATTACCTCTTTCAACAAATTAACACTGATACCGCGTAGTTGGTTGAGGGGCTATGCTACAAGCCGGAAGGTCGCGGGTTCAAGTCCCGATGAGGTCATTGGATTTTTTTCAGTTGACCTAATCCTTCCAGCCGCACTAGGCCCTGGGAGTTACTCAGCCTCTAACAGAAATGAGTACCAGGAATTAATTAAATAATTTTCCTAGGGAGTAAAGCGCGGCCGGCGCAATCTTTGAGCCGATTGTCTAGATAATGTGGGACCCCCAACGTCTCACAACCCTATGGGCCTTCACGGCCTGGTACAGGGATAGCTTTACTTTACTTTTACCTTGAAGCCTGAAAAACAAACTCCGTGATTTTAGTCTGCAAGCGAACTATACCGACGGAGCGACTGCCGCTTGTTGGCGAAGTTTAGTGCCAACTTTAGCGGATAGAGGGTGCCGCGTGGCCAGCGCAATGCATCCCCACGGCGGTTAATTTCGGTTTTCTAGACCGGGCCTTGAAGCCTGAATCTGATACAAACAATAAATTCAGTTATGCCTCACAAAGACGTTAGTTAATCCGTACAGAAGCTTTAATAAGCAAAATTTGATTAAAGCATGTGCAACACATGATATCCACGATATACGATCTGAAGGAAGGAAAGCACATCTGTCCCGTTCCTCCCTCTGGCGAGCATTTCAGACCCTTTTCCCCTCTGTCTTCCAACAAAAAAAGGACGAAGTTGTCCCTGTACTTAATTAAACACCATGCCACGAAGATGTATAGCGAAGTGGAGGTATAGTTGCCCTGGGAATTGGAAGACGGTGTGGTGAACTTCACGTCCCAATCGCTGTACCCCCTGAGAAACAGCCCCCACCCCCCGGTACCCATTGTATAGAAGTGGATGGGCCCCAGAGTCGGAGTAGACGCTGTGGGGCATAGGAACATTCCTTGTGGCGTAGCTACTCGTTAGGGTCACCCACGCCGGACAGGTCAAGGAGTAGGAACCAGACGAAGAGGGACACCCTGGTCCTCCAGGTTGGCGGTTGGGCCTGAGGCTAACGACCTCACACCGTAAAAACCAAATTGTTCAGAAACCACATAATCAGCCTCGGATGGATGGACTGAACGGAAATCGACATCAGCAAAGTAGCAGGAATAAGATTATAACGGCAACGTGGAATGTGAGATCACTGTTACAAGCTGGCAAGATGCAAGAGATAGCAAACGAAATACAAAAATTCTAAAGAGACATACATAGTTGCATTACAAGAAATTTGTTGGACCGAACATGGAAGGGTTAGTAAACATGATTATGCTCCGATTTACAGTGGATCAGAAAAAAGGGCAGCAAAGTTGGGTACGAGATTTACGATAGCTAAGGCAATAGATAGAATATGATAAAAATTGCAACTATCAACACAAGAATGTGGGAGGTAACAATTAAAGGATGCTTGAGGAATATAACCATAATCTCAGCATATGCCAACAGAAGATAAAGGTGAATGTGAAAATAACTTTTTACGAAAAAATTGAGGAAATCTGCAACAAAACACCAATAGTGCGATGCTAATAGTGATGGGTGATTTGAACGCTAAAATAGGTAACGAGATATATCAGAAAGAAGTGGCTGGAATGCACACAATACACGAGAAAAACAATGAAATCGGAAGGATGCTGGGGCAGTTTGTAACTAGGAACAATATGCTTACTAAAAGCACAGTTTATCCTCACAAACGTATACACCTGGGAACATGGAAGACACCTAGGACCAAAGACGTTAATGTGAATATCCCATATGTGAAGCGTGTCTCAGAAAAGTTCAAACATAGAGGGAATCAATATAACATTAAGACAATATTCAAAACTAAACAAACTCTTAGAAATCCATTCATGAAAACCATGCCAGAGAGAAAAGTGCATTTACAGTATTCCCTGTTAATGTGGCAGAAGCCACAATGGCGAAACAGGCAGACCTCTAGCCGTGTGGCTCTATGAGCACGGGCACAATCTCCAAAAGGGTTGTCTCGTGCTTACCTGAACTTCGAGGTTCAAAGGGTTAGGAAAATCGGAGAGACAACTTCATTGGTCCCTCACTATCCCATCGTGATTCTGTCAGCAACCGTATCACAGCTTTCAGTACCATTGGTGAAGGCAATGACCTCGTGATAATTACACTAATTAGTTGTCTCATGTTAACCACTTCGCTTGACAGCCATAACAAGGTACAGTCCGCGATTAGACATCACGTAATTCGACTGCATGCCTACC